CTCAAGGGAGAAGTTTTTCTGAAGTAAAAATGAGAGAAATCAAAGCTTGAGGGAAGGAGAGGGAGCCATAAGTTGTATCTGACTGAAGGGAAAATCTAAAGAAAGAAAAGGTTGAGGATATGGAACTGAGGGGAAGAATTGGAAAAGGTAATTTTTGTGTGTGTGTACAGTGCCAGATTTACGTATAAGCTAAACAAACTATATCTTAGGCTTCCCAAAATTTCACTATTAATATACTCCTTTTTAATTGTTTTTCAGCTCAACAATTACTTTTGTTATAAGAAGAAAGCCAGCTCCTTTTCCCTTATGGGTTATCCAAGAGCCCGTATAGAGTCCTTAAGTGGTGTAGCAGGAACCCCCCACCCCAATCATTCAGTTTGTACAAACTTCACACACTCACACTCACACACTACATATGCCACACTTCTGTTATAAATTCATAGAAAAATCAACCATACATCGGATTTGCACTGTTCCATTTTTATTTTACTCCATATGACAAGGACTATCAAAGGGGGGTGGCTTGGTTCTGGTCAGCCATAATCCCTTCACCATCCCAGCACATCCACAGGAGCCCTGCCCAGTTGCTATGCCAACCCTGATGGTCCTAGACAGAAGACCATCAAGATCACAAAGAACTTGCATATGGGAGTGGATTCAGCATGGACTGAAACAAAGGACAATGATCAGATCTTCCCTCTGGGGGCAGGAAACTGCCAACTCCCCTTTGTCTCCTGGAAGTGACTCATGGGCAGGGGGAAAGGAGGAACCAGCCAGGTGACAGGACACTCAGGTTACCACCACAACTCCTCCCTCAACCCCTCCTTTCTGTAATGTATGCATGATGTTTCTGGGGGTGGGCTTGACCTAGAGGATGGGAATTTCAAAAGTTTTTATAAGGTCTTGCACACCATCTTTCTGGGTCTTTCTTCTCTCTCGCAAGTGAGGGGAACACCCTGTTGCAACAGTTCAATAAAGGCCAAGCCTACAGGCTGCTGATTTGCTCCAATTTACTCTGGTTGGTGTCTTTACTTTTTGTCCAAGGGAGCCCTCGGATTTTTCCGGTAACAGTGGGTTCCCTATTGGTAGGAGAAAATAACACAGGCCAACCAGAGAATATTGAGAAGCTAACTCTTTGCAACAGGATCTTCATTCACCACTTGCAGGAGGGAGGAGGAACCCAGAACAATGGTGTGCAAGCCCTTATATAGACTTTTGAAATTGCCCACCCTGTAGCTCAAGACCACCCCGCAAAAACATCATACATACATCACAGAAGGAGGTGGTCTACAGCAGAAATCCTGTTGGCCATGATATCTGTTAATGGTCACTGATTGCTTTACCTGGACAGCCTGGCCATTCTTTTGTGATATGTTATACTTTAATTGCTCCCCTGTACTTATGTATGTGTTTGGCTTGAACGTTTATTTTATATTTGGCACCTTAGAATTCTTATAACACCTAGATCTCTATTTTTGGAGAGAGGGTGTTATGGGGTTGGGGGCAGATGAGATGGAGCAGCTTGGCAGTGGGTGTGTCGTATGCAGAAAGCCTCCCCTTAAATACCCATGACCCACCTTCTTCAGTTACTAGTTACTTGGGTTTGGGGCTAAGTCCATTATGAGTCAGAGAAAAATGTGTGTAGGCAGGAACCAGTCAAAGCAAGGCAGATCTTAATTTTCCTGTTGCGACGGAGTTTCTCACCTTACATGTTACATGGAGGTGAGGAGCCAAGACAAGTGTGTGTAACTTTTAAAGACTTGAGAAATTGCTAATAATAATAATAATAATAATAATAATAATAAATATATTTTTATACCCCACCCATCTGGCTGGGTTTCCCTTAGCCCAGAGGTTTTTGACTTTTTTGAGTCCACGGCTCCGTTGACCAACTACATTCTTTCTGTGGCAGCCCTGTGAGGCTCAGGAGCCCAGCTATGTCACCCCTTGCCAGCAGAGCTGGCAGCCTCTCGTTCTTTTTCTGACTCCTTCCCTTGTGGAGTGTCCCCTCTTCTCCTCTCCCCTCTCCTTCGGAGTCCTCTGGACAGCCGCAGCTGCCGCCCCTTCCCTAAAGAGAGGTGCCTCCTCATGCTGCCCCACAGGGGCCTGGGAAGCACCCTCTGGCCAGCTCCAGAGGCATCGTTCACCTGGGGAGCTTGTAGCCAGGGGTGCTGCAACAAACAGCTGCACAAGCCTTTGGGAGGCAGAGATGCAAGAAGGCATGGGGGGGGGGAGAAAGAGGGACAGAGGCCAGTGTTGCTCACGGCACCCTTGACCATCATTCAAGGCACCAAAGGGTGCCACAGCACCCTGGTTTGAAAACCACTGCCCACCCAACAAGCATCATACATGCATCACAGAAAGAGGCAGTCTTCTCTCCTGGCTTGTCTCTTGTCATGATACCTGACAGTGTAGCACCCTGCTTGTGGTTAACGCTTAGCTGGAATGAAATATTCAACGCAGCAATAGAGAAATTAAAATAATAATTTATTTGTCAGACAAATAAATGAGAGACACAGTGGTATATGGATACCAAAGCTCTGCCCACTCCAGCCCTGATGGCCAGCACTTATATTTCCTCAGCCCAGCCCCTTGCTCCTCCTTTGGCTGCCTCTGTCCAATCAGCCTGGTTGAAATTCCTATTGGCTGTTTGCTAGAACCAATCATAAAAGATACACCCATTTCCTATTACCTTTTATGGGAGACAAAGAGCTATATTTCCTTCTATCCATAAATGGCAGACAAGTAGCCATATATCTTACATTTGCCTCGACCAGGCACCTTAATTATCAGATCATCTTTGCCCTATTGTCCTATTGCCCTATTCACTCTAAAACAGATGGCTAATAGTTTTAATTTTTATCTTAAACAGAGATCTTGGGTTCACCTTCTCACACACCATCAATGAAAGAAGAATCTAACATAAGAATCTAACATTTCTTACTTTCTAGATCCTTTGCATAATTACATTTAAGCCAATATATTTCATACATAACATATATAGATTTTTAGAAGAAAAGGCCTTTTCAAAGTAAAAAGAACTTAGTAAAAACAGTTTCCAAAAGCAACCCCTTTCAAGCCAGCTGCTGTTCCCATTAGCTCTTGCCCTTTAACCTTAGGAAGATGTGGCTCGAGTCTGATGTTCAACAATAAAACTTACTATTTACCAACTCTTAATTAGTGTTTTTGCAGCTTGATTGTATTCTGTAATATGTAGGGTCACTGTAACCTTTGCCCCCAGCCTGTAATTTCCTTTTACAACCCTGAGGCACTGCTATAGATCAGAGGGGCCCTGTTTAGGAAGATAAACATCTGCCAAAGCACCCAGCCAGCTGCTTTATGCCTGGCATAAAACATACAAACATTTGCAAATATATTTTTAAGCTCATTTTAAAATGCAGATCTTGATCTGATGTCTCAACAGTTTGCTGGTCGCCCTTTCCTGACCAGTCTGAACTTTTCCCTTGAAATGGTAAAGATTCAATAGTTCTTGAATCTATTGTCACAGATCTACCCCTATTTATGTGAGATGTTTATAGCATTTGAAGGATTTGTAAGTGAAAAGAACTATTGGGAAAGGTTTTTCCTTCAACTGCAGAGTATATATCTGGGGTCATTAAGAGGGTCAAGATGGCTTCAGGATTGCTCTGTGCACTCAAAGAAAGTGTCTTTTTTTCAGGGAATATTTTATAATTTTTGAATGGTGAAGGATTGTTTTTTCTCTAGGAATTAGTTTTCATCCAAGATTTTTTGTGCTACAAAAAATAAAATAAAATAAAATAAATGAGCAAGGAAAGGTACATATAGTATCCACTTTCAATTCATAGTCTTTTTCACAGTCCGTTTTTCACAGACGCTATTGTCCTAGACATTGAAGGAGGGGGGGAGAGAGGTTGTTTAGGGAGGATTATTGATCCTTTCATTCTGTTGCATAGTGTCTTTGCATCAGCGTCCTCTGGGTCAGTCCTTTATTTATAATTTGTTTGTATTGGCCCTGTGAGAGATGGGAAGGTTCGTTGTGTTCAGTTGACGGCATGCGAATCAAGATGGGTTACCCTGACCCAACAACCTGCCCCTCTACAAACAAGCCGTGCTGCCCTTTTTATTTATAGCACTTTTTTACTCTCTGCCATGGCTTGGCGCCTCTGGACCTGGAAAAAACTGCAGCTTAAATTACCCTCTCTTTTAATAAATATGTGTGTGTTGGGGGTGGTGGAATTTATTTAAAAACGATATATATAAATATACCTTCTTGAAGAAACCAGAGGCCTTTCTCCTGGGCATGGTCGGCCAATTGGTGCCAAAGAAGGACAGAACTTTTTTTATGTATGCTACAACAGCAGCAAGAATACTTATTGCAAAGTATTGGAAGACACAAGATCTACCCACTTTGGAAGAATGGCAGATGAAGGTGATGGACTATATGGAACTGGCGGACATGACTGGCAGAATCCAAGACCAGGGAGAAGAGTCGGTGGAAGAAGATTGGAAGAAATTTAAAGACTACTTACAGAAATATTGTAAAATTAATGAATGATAGAATGATGTTGGATAGTAACTAAGTGGTTTCTAGCTGTAATGCTCTAAGAGAATATGAAAAAAAGGGTTATAAATGGGTTAAAATCCAATGGTAAGGATTTGCTGAACCAATAAATTGAAGTGGAATACAAAAAAGGGAGGTATGAGGAGGTCCCGGAAACAAGCTAAAGGAAAATAAGTAACTGGAAATATGTGTGTTTTTAATTGTTTTTATTTTGTATTTTTCTCTTTTCTTTTTCATTTTTACTGTAATATTTCAAAAAACCTAATAAATATCTTATAAAAAAATAAAATAAAATAAAAACGATGCAAGGAATGTGGAATACGCGACTGGTGTTCTTGGGCCCTCCTGGTCCCCGATACCAGGGGGAAACCTGAGGAAGGGGCGCCACTTGAGCCCCTGAGGGGAGGAACTACGACTCCCGGCAGCCTTTGCGCTAGGCCCCGCCCCTCCACTTGGCCGGCCCCGGACCGTCAGCTGCAGCTGCTTCGCGCTGGCGGGCAGCGCGCGGGAAGGAGGCGGCTGCCGCTGCGGCGCTGCTCCACTTCCACTTCCTCCTCGTGGAGGGGGGCCATGAGCTCAGGTGAGCCTCCCGGCGAGGCAGGGAAGGGGGGGGGAAGGAAGGTGGGGTCTCACCCTTTTCCTGGGATTGAGGGGGGCTCCCGGGGGGCGGCGCCGCGGAAGGGAGCAGGTGCGGGGCGCTGCTTGCAAGGTCGGCCCAGGAAGGGACAGCTGCTGCTGCTGCTGCTGACGGGGTCGGGGGGCTCAGCGGAGAGGGCCCCCCCAGTCGAGAAGGGGGGCACATGGTGAGGCAGACACAGACGTGCCCCCCACCCCCGGAGCAGCCTGGGCTACCCCACGTCCTCCCACGTTCCCCGAAACTGCTGACTTTCCTCTTTCTTTCATTTTCTTTCGCCTCAGTGAGCGATTTTATTTTTTGGAGGGGGAGGGGGAGAAAGGGAAAGTTTTTGAAGTTAGGCAAAGTGGGGCTTCCAGGGAGACAAGGACTGAACGGCGGGGTGGGGGGCCGAGTTGATAAAGGATGAAGGTTTAAAAAATAATCTATAGTTTTTCTTTTTTGGGGGGAGGAGGTTTACAGTTGGGAGCATAAAGAGCTGCTGGATCAGGCCCAAGGGCCCCCCTCTAATCTTGTGGTGGTTATATGCATTTTGTGTTTTATGCCCCACGTTGGGTAAAAGATTCCTGCATTGCTGGGGGTTGGACTAGATGACGCCTGTGATCTTTGGACCAACGGTGGTATATAAATTTAATAAATAATAATTCAGTAATTGTGTTCCCGCTGTGGCCATTCAGATGCCCCAGTGGCGAGTGGCAGGGCCTGAGCATCACCTCCCCACCCTCACTTCGCAGCAGCTGTAAAGGCTGCTGCTTCTGATTCCGGAGGTTAATGCAGCTATCCTGCCTATTGTGATTGCTGTCCTTCTCTATGAGTTGCTTCATCTGAGTACCAGAGTGGTCTGTCTTCTTTTTGGTTCTTTTTTTACATCCTGTAAAACGCAGACTGGCAGCAACTGCTCCTTGTCCTTCTCTCTCTCACACACACAGGCTCCCAAATCAGTCTTCTTTAATGGGGAGGCCCCACCTGCCATTCTGAAGGTAGAAGTGGAGACCACAGAGAGTCTTGCTGAGGCAATGGCAAGTTGGAGTTTGGGGCTTTGGCCCCTCCAATTCCCACCCGGAAGGGCCTCTGGGACAGTCTCTGCAGGATAGACATGAGAGAGACTGATTTGTGGAAGGTTCTGGGCCATCTTATGCCTTGAGCGGGGTGGAAAGTGGGTCTTGTGACTGGGATTGTATAAGGCTGCATAGCAGAGAATGTCACGGACCATCTTGGCTTGTGGGAGAAAGGAGAAAGAAAGTTGTTTGTGTTGGGCCCAGCTGTGTGTTACAAACTCTGTCCTGGAAAAGAAAATGCGTTGAGCAAATGCCGTTGCCAAAACTGGATGTCTAGTTGCCATTTTTGACCAAGACGGCTCTAAAGTCTTGTTTTTCAAATGATGGGCTGACTGTGAATGATTCTCAATTAAATGTCTGGCTAATTCAGATGAGATCCTTAAGCTAGGTTACGAGCTTTGAAGTTTGAAAAAAGAAAAGTCACTTGATCCAGGGACAGCCCACATATCTATTGGCCTGTTCTGACCTCTTTTTCTTAATGGTGACTGCTCCTGCTCAGGCTGCACAGAAAAAGCATTTTGGTTCCAGAAAAGCATTCCAATCGTGCAAATAAAATATAACTGATAGAATTCTACAGGATGGGGTATTGGTGTGTGAGAACAGTCCAGATCCAATGATCCCCAGATGGTGGAGATATCAGGTGCCATCCTGGCTCCCTGGCACCTTCACTTGGCCAAACACTGCTCCTCACTAAGAACTTTCTGTCACCTCTAAAACTGCTGGAGACCCCATAAAGGCCCTTTGCACCAGCTCCTGAGATTCCGGCAAGGATTGATTCTGCCCTTTCAAGCAAATCACGAGGGCTAGAAACATGCTCTTTCAAAAGGGGCAGCTGCTTTTTGCAGGAAGCCATATTCAGTGGGCTGTCAGTGCCTCCCTACCCTCCTCCTCCCTAACAGGCATGGTGACAGTAATGAAAGAAGGAGCTAACTTCATTCAGCCCACCTTCCAGGGTCTCTGGAATCTGCCACCAGCAATGCACAAGCAAAATCTCTGCCTCGGTGAGCAAACCGGTTTCTCCTTCAGCTGTGGCTTTGATCACACTCTGCAGGCGGCACTGTCTTCGTTTGGTACCTTTTCCCCATCAATAATATTCATAGCTATTAAAGCAGCACATGGTCCTCACTGAACAACATGCAGAACACCCAGATTTCCAATGGGAATTCAAATTTTGATGTGGCATTTCAAAACTAAGAATCTCACATTCTCAGTGTTTTAGACTCTGTGCCTCTGAAACAGTTTGACTGGCATCAAATGTGGGAACTCAGTTTTGAATGAATGCCTAAATATCCAAGACAGAGATACCTTCAGGTATCCGAAGTACTGTAGCTTGAGATAGGCCTGAGCAGTCTACTAGCAAAAGGGTAGAGCTTCCAGGCAAGGCATCTCCAGCAAACAAGTCCCCAGCCCCAGTGTGTTGGTGGAATCCTGCAGGGGGCTTCCAGACCCCTTTTGTGCACCGTGTCACAGCTTTTGTAGGAGAGGGGAGAGGGGCTGGGGACCGAGCAGGCAGACAACACCATGGTGGCTCTCCAGCTCACCTCCCTTTTGTATGCATAATTTTTATTAATTTGCATAATGCAAAATACAAAAACAAAATATAAAAGTTCGATTCTCATTTTCACAGGTTTTTAAGTATGGCTTCCTTCAACCTTTCCACAAATCATCCGTAATAATCTTTTATAAAAATTCGCATTTCTTAGTTTGAAATGCCATTAATCATTCTAGTTCTTCCATTTCTCTTTAGACAATACTCTTTTCTTTTACAGAGCTCCTTTAAAGCCCACTAGTGTTATCTGTCCATCACTTAAATTTTCCAGATATTTCGTAAAACTTTCCCAATCCTTAATGAACCTCTGGTCTTTTAAATATCTAATTTTCCCTGTCATCTTATCCATTTCCGCATAATCTAATAGTTTTGCTCTCCATTCCTCAATTGTCGGTAGGCCCTCTGATTTCCAATTTTGCAGCTCACCTCCCTTTTGAAGCTGAGCCATGCATTTCCTGGTCTGATTCTTTTTTTTAAAAAAAAAATAATATTTATTACTTTTCCAACAATTTAAACACTACAAAAACAATACAATACAATACAAAAACACTACATAACATTGACACGTTAAACACATTAAACTAACAAAACAAAACAAAACAAAAACAGTAAAATAAATCAAACAATTTCAATATCCCATCTTTCATTCACTTATTTCCACGACCTCTTCACACCTCCCTTTTTGTATTCCACTTCTGTTAACTGTTTCAGCAATTCCTTTCCATCTTCCTCTGTTTTCTATCCTGTAATTATCTTAACACATTCTAACCTTATTTTTTCCTTTAATACTCTATTAATCTATTTATACTTAATTCCTTGTAACGTTTCTACTAAAGCCATATAACTTCATTCCAACATTTTTCTAACATTCATTAATTTTACAGTATTTCTGTAAATAGTCTTTAAACTTTTTCCAATCTTCTTCCACCAACTCTTCTCCCTGGTCTCGGATTCTGCCAGTCATTTCCGCCAGTTCCATATAGTCCATCAACTTCATCTGCCATTCTTCCCGGGTGGGGCGTTTCCTGGTCTGATTCAACCCTGTTGTCCTCTGGCAAGGTTTGGAGGTGCCTTGAAGTGCAGCAATTTGCCTCTGATAAGTTTAGGAAGCCAGATCTGCATGATGGAGGCTGCAGAACGTGGCAAGGTTTTGTCAGCTAGTTTTAGAACATCATTTGGGATGGGGGTAGGGAGGTTTTTAAAAAATATATATAAATTGGCCTCTGTGTTCTAGGGACATTGGTGGTGCTGTGGGTTAAACCACAGAGCCTAGGACTTGCCGATCAGAAGGTCGGCGGTTCGAATCCCGCGACGGGGTGAGCTCCCGTTGCTCGGTCCCAGCTCCTGCCAACCTAGCAGTTCGAAAGCACCTCAAAGTGCAAGTAGATAAATAGGTACCACTCCAGTGGGAAGGTAAACGGCGTTTCCGTGCGCTGCTCTGGTTCACCAGAAGCGGTTTAGCCAGAAGCTGTATGCCGGCTCCCTCGGCCAATAAAGCGAGATGAGCGCCGCAACCCCAGAGTCGGTCACAACTGGACCTAATGGTCAGGGGTCCCTTTACCTTTACCTATGTTCTAGAAAGCTGACGGAGAATTATTTTTCCACTGAGCTGTAGTGCCAGATGAGGAGGAGCCTGGTGGTTGTTATCCTTTCTCAAGTCTGATCTAGCAGTCGAACTGAGTCCATTTCTGTGTTGTGTCAGATGCTGTGTCCTGTTAGGCATCTCAGAGCTTGCCTGAAGCTGGGGATGAGCCACGTAGGAAAAAAAGGGATTTAGAAGAAGAGGTGGTGGCAGTTGTGTATCCTGGGGCTGCAAGCAGGCAAGGGGCATTTTGAGGATGGGACAGACCTTTGGGTGGTTGGTGTGCGGGACCACAGCACACACAGTCACAGAAAATCTGCTGGTTTTTTTAATGGTTTATGAGCCTCTTGTGAAACGGATACCTGTCTCCCCATCTGTTGGAATACTTACTTACCTTTTGAAGAGGAGTTGGGTGAAGGGAAGACTTATAAGCCTCTTTATCTGCTTAGGCTGATTCCTAACTTTGACCAATTTGCCAGCAAAAAACCTTGACACGTTCATAGTTCTTTGGCAAGAAATCATGGGGAAACTGAAAAACCGGGTAATCTATTTACTGCTCAGCGGACTTTCACCCACCTTCATCGTCATCATTTTTTTTTGGGATGCTATGCTCAAGGTGGCTTACAACATAAAAAGATTTACATAATCACAAACATAAAAGAAGTAGTCATAAACAAGAAATAAAACAGACCAAAAGGTACACAACCAAATTGAACAGTTTCTACATTAAATCATAAGAACTAAAAATTAATATCAACAACAGCAACAAAAAAACCCCTGAATAATAGTTTAAAGGATTCAGGAGAGGGGAGGAATTGGAGGGAGAGATGTCCTCTGACCATGTTTCAGGGGAGAACGTTGCTTTTTAAAAATGACTTCCACCCAAATCTATATTGTGGACATCCCTGTGAATGTGAATCTGCAGCGAGACTTTGCTTCCACCTAAAAGATAACAAATGTTAACAAAAAGTATAAAGACTGGAGCCAAGCTTCCAGATAATAATGATTTATTAATTTAGGAATCTCCTAAAATGTAACAGCAACCCAAAGTAATTTAAAACTCAGTACAAAAGACAACCAAATGTAGGTTTTAAAACAATAGCAAAAGAGAGAGAGCGCGTGCACCTACACCAGAGACTTTTTCACTTAGCTGGAAAAGCTTGTTGAACCAACAACGTCTTCAATTGTTTCCTGAAAGTACAAATAGTGGACGCCTGCTGCAGCTCAGCAGGGATTCATAATGTTTTAATAAGATTAATTGGCTGGTAAACAGGCACATGTGTGCAGAGAATCTTCCCGGCTCCGCTTGCCTTTGCAGTTCTGCCCCTGCCCCTACGGCTGGTTGCCTCCTCTTGTTCTAGAGCAGTGTCTCCCAAACTTTGGGTCACCAGCTGTTTTGGGGCTACAGTTCCCATAATCCCTGACTGCTGGTCCTGTTAGCTAGGGGATGATGGGAGTTGTAGTCCCAAAACAGCTGGAGGCCCACGTTACACTGCTCTGAAGGGGTTTTTTTAGTGCTGAGGAAGAAAAAGACTGTGACAAGCATGGGGCCACTTCAGTCCCCTGTTGTGTTCCCACACCACCAAATTCTGGAGGTGCCCCTGCCCCTGCCAAAGACTCCTCCAAACCCCTCCTGCCTGCTCTTTCCTCTCTCCCCCCGGGTACACATCCCTGCTTTGCACATAACACTTTCTGCCCATTTTGCTCATTTGGAAAATTCCACCTGATGAAACCGGTTTGGTCACTGCTGTAGCATTTATGGGGCTGGCTGGAGGCGTCGTGCCCGGTCAACCGTGCGGCTTTTGCCCTGAGCTTCCTGCTCTGTGGGTGCGTCAGGTGTGCAAGCTCCCTGGGCAGGGTCAAGCAAGCCAGCCGGCTGTCGACAGCAAATGGCACAGATAATCTGCAGAGCAACTTGGAGCTCCCCTGGCCTGGTGCCAGCCTGCTGCTTCCTGCAACTGTGTTTGGGAAAGGGGTGGGGCTTTCAGCCTCAGCTGCAGCTTGGCCACGTCTTCCCTTGGAATAATAGGACAGAACCCCAGGAGAAACAAGTAAGCAGGGATTTGGGGTGGGAGCAGGTCAGCCCCCAAAGAAGGTAAGAGCATCAAACTGCTTCCCTGTATCCCAGCGGCCTTTTTGCAAGAGGATGAGAGCTGGTGAAAGGCGGAGGTCTGCTGGGTCAAGACTAGCTGGAAGGCCAGGCAGCTTCACTCAAGCTGTTCCGCCTTTGTCCCAAGACCCCACCTTCTGAAATAAGGAGTAATAGTCAATGAAGGAATTAGAGAAAATGTGGACTATGGCAGATGAAGATGATGGACTTTTCGGAGCTAGCCGACCTGACCGGAAGAGTCCGCGACCAAAAGGAGGAGGAGTACCAGGAGGAATGGATGAAATTTAAAGAATATTTAGTTAAATATGTTAGGGTAATTTAAATAGAAATACTTGCAAATACCAGATTGGCTTAGGATTTAAATATGTGATGTTATAGAATAATATGTTTAAAGTTAATATGGAAAGTAAGAAAGATGTTAATTGATTGATTAAATTTTATGAGAAATTAGTTTTGGAAAACTGTTACAATGATATACATTGAAATTCAGCCAGGGGGATTCGAGGAAGTCACTTAACAATGTTAATAATAGCGGAATAAATATAGTTAGGATTTACAGTGGTGCCTCGCAAGACGAATGCCTCGCAAGACGAAAGAGTTTTCCGTTTTTTGAGTCGTTCCGCAAGACGAATTTCCCTATAGGCTTGCTTCGCAAGACGAAACGTTTTGCGAGTTCTTGCGAGTTTGTTTCCTTTTTCTTAAAGCCGCTAAGCCGTTAATAGCCGCTAAGCCGCTAATAGCCGTGCTTTGCAAGACGAAAAAACCGCAAGACGAAGAGACTCACGGAACGGATTAATTTTGTCTTGCGAGGCACCACTATATATTTGTTTGTTTGGTTATAAATTTGGAAAACCAATAAAAAAAAATTTGAAGAAAAGAAAAGAAAATGTGGACTAGCATTGGCTTTGCTGCAAGTTCTCTGAGTAACAGAGTGTCTTTGCAAGAGCAGAGTATATGTGATTGGCTGCAAGGGCTTTGCAAGACCTTGGCTACTCTCCAAGCTGATTGAAACGGGGCTTTCAAGATCTTTGCTCTTCTCCCTGTTCAATCAGACCCACTCATTCTCCTTCATAACTTAATTATTTTACAGCTCTCCCGAGACCTTGGTTCCTTTACCAGGGAGAGGGAGCAGGGGCAGCTTTCAATAAACAAGCAAGCAAGCAGGCAGGCAAAAATTACATACCACTTACCAGAATGAGAGGGATGCGGGTGGCGCTGAGCCTAGGACTTGCCAATCAGAAGGTCGGCGGTTCGAATCCCCGTGACTGGGTGAGCTCCTGTTGCTCGGTCCCTGCTCCTGCCAACCTAGCAGTTTGAAAGCACGTCAAAGTGCAAGTAGATAAATAGGTACCACTCCAGTGGGATGGTAAACGGCGTTTCCGTGCGCTGCTCTGGTTCGCCAGAAGCGGTTTAGTCATGCTGGCCGCATGACCCGGAAGCTGTACGCCGGCTCCCTCGGCCAATAAAGCGAGATGAGCGCCGCAACCCCAGAGTCGATCATGACTGGACCTAATGGTCAGGGGTCCCTTTACCCTTTACCTTTCCCAGAATGAAAGACCCCAGAGCAGTTCTGGCTGGGATTTCAACCTACTCTTTGGTCCATAACCACAGCAGGATGAAGTACCTTTATGCCTTTGTCCCGCGTTTAGGAACATAATTTTGTACTGATCTCATTCTCTTTCTTATTGCAGACACCAGGAGGCTGCTGGGAGGCCGGCGACTCGGCTACTGTACCCTCAGCCAGAGCCCCCCTAATACCTGCATGGTAAGTACAGGGGGTGTGGGGGGGTGAGGCCTGTGGGGTGTGGGAGAGAGAATCAAGGGCACAGCTCATATACCTCTGCTGCGTCATTCTTAAAGGTCCTTAAACCCTTCCTGGAGGCGGTTGGAGGATGGCTGGTGGCTAACAGATTGAGGTTGAATCCTGACATGACAGAAGTAGTGTTTTTGGGAGACAGGAGGCAGGCGGGTGTGGAGAACTCCCTGGTCCTGAATGGGGTAACTGTGCCCCTGAAGGACCAGGTGCGCAGCCTGGGAGTCATTCTGGACTCACAGCCCTCCATGGAGGCGCAGGTCAATTCTGTGTCCAGGGCAGCTGTTTATCAGCTCCATCTGGTACGCAGGCTGAGACTCTACCTACCTGAAGACTGTCTTGCCAGAGTGGTGCATGCTCTAGTTATCTCCCACTTGGACTACTGCAATGCGCTCTACATTGAAGGGGACCTGGAAACTACAACTAATCCAGAATGCGGCCGCTAGATTGGTGACTGGGAGCGACCGCCGAGACCATATAACACTGGTCTTGAAAGACCTACACTGGCTCCCAGTACGTTTCCGAGCACAATTCAAAGTGTCGGTGCTGACCTTTAAAGCCCTAAATGGTCTCGGTCCAGTATACCTGAAGGAGCGTCTCCACCTTCATCGTTCTGCCCGGACACTGAGGTCCAGCGCCGAGGGCCTTCTGGCGGTTCCCTCTCTGCAAGAAGCCAAGTTACAGGGAACCAGGCAGAGGGTCTTCTCGGTAGTGGCACCCGCCCTGTGGAACGCCCTCCCACCAGATGTCAAAGAGAAAAATAACTACCAAACTTTTAGAAGACATCTGAAGGCAGCCCTGTTTAGGGAAGCTTTTAATGTTTAATAGGTTATTGTATTTTAGCGTTTTGTTGGAAGCCGCCCAGAGTGGCTGGGGAGGCCCAGCCAGATGGGTGGGGTATAAATAAATTCTTCTTCTTCTTCTTCTTCTTCTTCTTCTTCTTATTATTATCATCATCAACAACAAAGTTTCCTGGAAAGCCACGTGGATAAGTGAGGGAAGGAGATGGGGCGGGGAAAAGTGCAGTATACCTGGTCCTTCCCCAAAGGAGGTTTTGTTGCCATGGGAACCACTTTGCTCTTTTGCCATCAGGCTAGCAACCTGGACAGTCAATTCACATCCCTTCAGCTGGCCAGATTTGGCCTGAGGGCCTCCAGCTGCCAACCCTTGTGCTAGGTTGCAGTAGAATTCTTTGTGAGCTGCTATCATCACTGCAGTTTAACCACGATACCATTTAATTGGGCGAGAGAAGTCATTCCCCATCTCAGGAGGAGGATGCTGGGGTCTCTCTCAAATGCACCTTTCCAAATTGCAAGGGTTCCACCCGCCCTCCTGTGTGTGTGTTTGTGGAGGTCATAATTGGCATGGGCCTAAAACGCCTGTTTTTGTTCCACCCCCAGGAAGTCACAGGCTACCAAAGCAAAACATGGAAGATCATCCTCTGCCACTTTTTCTCTCTGCTGATGGTGGGAATCCCACTGGTAGTTTTCCACTGGAAGCCACACTTCAAAGTCCGGGCCAAATGCAGCCGCTGCCCTCTCCACCAAGCTGACTGGGTGGTCATCCGTGTGAGTGGAATTGGCGGGTGGCGAGGGGAGAAAGCTGGGGAAAGAAGGGGTGGTGCAATGAAGTGCAGGCACACTTTTGCCATTTGTACCCCTAATGTCACATTTTCAGAAATGACCAAGGGTCCTGGTTATAGGGGAATTAAATATATGAATCCCTGTGGACTCAAGTGTGTGGGTGAATAACAAAAGAATTGGCTGGGTGCCTAGATTCAAAACATGGGGCTAGCACACAGAAAGCCCCAACAGAGTTTTAAATCAAGTCACAACTTGTACAGCAGTACAGTGTCAGGAATATAGGTTGTTGGACCCTTTTATCCCATTCATGATCCTCCCCTCTTTCTACCCCCTTTTCAAGGAACAGACCACACTAAGTAAGTTTAAAATGTCTTACTTACAGATTTAAAGGTCTGATACATGTGTTGTTCCATGCAACTTCAAGGAGAACACCAGCAAAATACTCTCGAGTAGAAAATACAGAATATGGTTCCAAACATGTGCTCTAAGCTTGGGAGCAAACTTACACATGTTCTCCTTCATTGGTTACATGGTGCAGAAAGAGAGAGAAAGGAAGTAGAAAGCTTCATTTCTGAGGGTGCGTGACCTAGTTGAGTCTAGGAACACAGCTCTATTGTCTTAACCCCTTCATGTACTTGTTGTCGTTTAGTCGTTTAGTCGTGTCCGACTCTTCGTGACCCCATGGACCAGAGCACGCCAGGCACTTCTGTCTTCCACTGCCTCCCGCAGTTTGGTCAGACTCATGTTTGTAGCTTCGAGGACACAGTCCAACCATCTCGTCCTCTGTCGTCCCCTTCTCCTTGTGCCCTCCATCTTTCCCAACATCAGGGTCTTTTCCAGGGAGTCTTCTCTTCTCATGAGGTGGCCAAAGTATTGGAGCCTCAGCTTCATGATCTGTCCTTCCAGTGAGCACTCAGGGCTAATTTCCTTAAGAATGGATGCGTTTGATCTTCTTGCAGTCCATGGGACTCTCAAGAGTCTCCTCCAGCACCATAATTCAAAAGCATCAATTCTTCGGCGATCAGCCTTCTTTATGGTCCAGCTCTCACTTCCATACATCACTACTGGGAAAACCATGGCTTTAACTATACGGACCTTTGTTGGCAAGGTGATGTCTCTACTTTTTAAGATGCTGTCTAGGTTTACCATTGCCTTTCTCCCAAGGAGCAGGCGTCTTTTAATTTCGTGACTGCTGTCACCATCTGCAGTGATCATGGAGCCCAAGAAAGTAAAATCTCTCACTGCCTCCATTTCTTCCCCTTCTATTTGCGAGGAGGTGATGGGCCCAGTGGCCATGATCTTCGTTTTTTTGATTTTGAGCTTCAGACCATATTTTGCGCTCTCCTCTTTCACCCTCATTAAAAGGTTCTTTAATTCCTCCTCACTTTCTGCCATCAAGGTTGTGTCATCTGCATATCTGAGGTTGTTGATATTTCTTCCGGCGATCTTAATTCCGGCTTGGGATTCATCCAGCCCAGCCTTTTGCATGATGAATTCTGCATATAAGTTAAATAAGCAGGAGACAATATACAGCCTTGCCGTACTCCTTTCCCAATTTTGAACCAATCAGTTGTTCCATATCCAGTTTTAACTGTAGCTTCTTGTCCCACATAGAGATTTCTCAGGAGACAGATGAGGTGATCAGGCACTCCCATTTCTTTAAGAACATGCCATAGTTTGCTGTGGTCGACACAGTCAAAGGCTTTTGCATAGTCAATGAAGCAGAAGTAGATGTCTTTCTGGAACTCTCTAGCTTTCTCCATAATCCAGCACATGTTTGCAATTTGGTCTCTGGTTCCTCTGCCTCTTCTAAATCCAGCTTGCACTTCTGGGAGTTCTCAGTCCACATACTGCTTGAGCCTTCCTTGTAGAATTTTAAGCATAACCTTGCTAGCGTGTGAAATGAGTGCAATTATGCGGTAGTTGGAGCATTCTTTGGCACTGCCCTTCTTTGGGATTGGGATGTAGACTGATCTTCTCCAATTGTCTGGCCACTGCTGAGTTTTCCAAACTTGCTGGCATATTGAGTGTAGCACCTTAACAGCATCATCTTTTAAAATTTTAAATAGTTCAGCTGGAATACCATCACTTCCACTGGCCTTGTTATTTGCAGTGCTTTCTAAGGCCCATTTGACTTCACTCTCCAGGATGTCTGGCTCAAGGTCAGCAACCACACTACCTGGGGTGTATGAGCCATCCTTATCTTTCTAGTATAATTCCTCTATGTATTCTTGCCACCTCTTTTTGATGTCTTCTGCTTCTGTTAGGTCCTTTCCACTTTTGCTTTTATTATGGTAATCTTTGTACGAAATGTTCCTTTCATATCTCCAATTTTCTTGAACAGATCTCTGGTTCTTCCCATTCTGTTGTTTTCCTCTATTTCTTTGCATTGCTCGTTTAAGAAGGCCTTCTTGTCTCTCCTTGCTATTTTTTGGAAATCAGCATTCAATTTCCTGTATCTTTCACTATCTCCCTCGCATTTTGCTTTCCTTCTCTCCCCCGCTATTTGTAAGGCCTCGTTGGACAGCCACTTTGCTTTCTTGCATTTCCTTTTCATTGGGATGGTTTTAGTTGTTGCCTCCTGTATAATGTTACGAGCCTCCATCCATAGTTCTTCAGGCACTCTGTCCACCAAATCTAAATCCTTAAACCTGTTCCTCACTTCCACTGTGTATTCATAAGGGATTTGACTTAGATTGTATCTTACTGGCCCAGTGGTTTTTCCTACTTTCTTCAGTTTAAGCTTGAATTTTGCTATAAGAAGCTGATGATCTGAGCCACAGTCAGCTCCAGGTCTTGTTTTTGCTGACTGTATAGAGCTTCTCCATCTTTGGCTGCAGAGAATATAATCAATCTGATTTCGATGCTGCCCATCTGGTGATGTCCATGTGTAGAGTCGTCTCTTGTGTTGTTGGAAAAGAGTGTTTGTGATGACCAGCTTGTTCTCTTGGCAGAACTCTATTAGCCTTTGCCCTGCTTCGTTTTGAACTCCAAGGCCAAACTTGCCAGTTGTTCCTTTTATCTCTTGACTCCCTACTTTAGCATTCCAATCCCCTATAATAAGAAGAACATCCTCCTTTGGTGTCAATTCTATAAGGTGTTGTAAGTCTTCATAGAACTGGTCAATTTCAGTTTCTTCAGCACCAGTGGTTGGTGCATAAACTTGGATTACTGTGATGTTAAAAGGTCTGCCTTGGATTCGTATCGAGATCATTCTATCATTTTTGAGATTGCATCCCATTACAGCTTTTGCCACTCTTTTGTTGACTATGAGGGCCACTCCATTTCTTTTACAGGATTCTTGCCCACAGTAGTAGATATGATGGTCATCCGAATTGAATTCGTCCATTCCCGTCCGTTTTAGTTCACTGATGCCCAGGATGTCAATATTTATTCTTGCCATCTCATTTTTGACCACATCCAACTCACCAAGGTTCATGGTTCTTACATTCCAGGTTCCTATGCAATATTTTTCTTTACAGCATTGGACTTTCCTTTCGCTTCCAGGCATATCCGCAACTGAGCGTCCTTTCGGCTTTGGCCCAGCCGCTTCATCAGCTCTGGATCTACTTGTACTTGTCCTCCGCTCTTCCTCAGTAGCATGTTGGACGCCTTCCGACCTGAGGGGCTCATCTTCCAGCGTCATAACTTTTATATGCATTTTGTCTTTGCCCATGGAGTTTTCTTGGCAGGGATACTGGAGTGGCTTGCCGGTTCCTGCTGCAGGTGGATCATGTTTGGTCAAAACTCTCCACTATGACCTGTCCATCTTGGGTGGCCTTGCACGGCATAGCTCATAGCTTCTCTGAGTTATTCAAGCCCCTTCGCCACGGCAAGGCAGTGATCCATGAAGGGGCTTCATGTACTAACTAGCCCTATACTTGCTAGTTATGCTTGACTCCAATTTCCCACACTGATGGCATGCTGCAGATTGAGCCTTTTGTTCCATGGCGAGATGGTAACCTCCTTTGAGGGCCACATTTGGAAACAAACCCCGAAGCCTCAAGGCAGTTCAATCAGGCTTGTCCAAATCTTGACCCCTCTCCATGCGGAATGTGGCCCTTGAGGGGCTTCCTTTGTTTGAGGGAGTTGTACCCTGCCTTTCAATAAAAAACCCCAAATTTAAAAAGCATAATAAAGCAGATTTAATCCATGCAATTCAAAAATATTCAAAAAGGTACTAAAACCCATTTAAAAAACCACACATTACAAGCAATTCTTTGCTGCCTGTCTGGAAATTGAAGAATGTTTTTGTGGGGAGGGGGTATGAACACTCTGTACATGTCCTGTGAGCTGTGTTTGGTTTGTTGAGTTGCAGATTGATGCCCTCCAATGTGGGGTTGGACTAAATGACCTTTGAGGTCCCTTCCAACTCTGCCATTCTATGATTTCAGGTGTCTGGGAGGTTTAAAGCTGCAGGTGTCAAGCCCCCCAGGAAAGAACTGGCTAGCTGTTTGATCAGGATTAGGGCCAGCACTTCAATCCTGTTCTCCTTTCTTTGATTCTGTGAGCCAAACCCTTTCCCCACAGCTGAGCCAAGTGCCTTCTGTGCTTCTCTTCCAGGACCAATTTGGCCAGTATTTCACAGCCTGTGTCCGAACAGAGCAGATGGTAGAAGGCAGGTGAGTGAGGCGTTGGGGTCCACTCTCGCCTGGTCTTGAATTTGCAGAAGACATGAATGAATCAGAAAGGGGCTGGGGGACATGCAAACTGTTTGTGGGTCAGAGGTGTGCCCCACAATAAGTGTCCAAACTCTGGGCGTTTGGCCTTGCAAATGCAGACCTGAAACGTATAAATGGCATTGCAGCAGTTCCAACTTCCAGTGGGTTCATCCCACCCTGTAAAAGACCCTCTCCATAGTGTTAGAAACTCAGATATATAGTCTTAATCGCCAAATGGCACCTTTAACCTAGGTTATGGTTGCCACAATGGAATGTCTAGTTCAGGGGTCAGCAAACTTTTTCAGCAGGGGCCGGTCCACTGTCCCTCAGACCTTGTTGGGGACTGGACTATATGGGGTGGGGGAATGAATGAATTCCTATGCCCCATAAATAACCCAGAGATGCATTTTTTAAAAAAGGACACATTCTACTCATGTAAAAACACGCTGATTCCTGGACCATCCGCGGGCTGGATTTAGAAGGCGATTGGGCCTTAGTTTGCCTAGTTCTCCCCCCCCCCACCCCCGGGATATCATCATCATCATCATCATTTCTATACCACTTTCTATTTTAAAGAACTAATCTCAAAGTGGTTTAAAACAAGCAAGGATAAAACAAATTCACGCGTCAAGGAAAATATTTCAGATCCTTGATTAAGTGACGTTTTGCTTTCCCAGTTGGCAACCTGGCATCTGTAGGATGTGAAACACAAGAGCAGTCAAGTACAACATTCCTAGAGTGAACATGTTTACACATGGGGAGGGATGTTTGTCCAGCCAGCAGGTAAACTTCCTGTTTCCTTCTGGGCTGGGACAGACTTCCTCTGCATGTGACTAGAGGTGGGTGTGGCCTCACCTGTGCAGGTAATGACAAAAGCACAGGGCAGGGCAGCCATCTCTCACTCTTTCACCACATGCATCGAAGAAACAACATCTACTGAGCCAAAGATGCCCTCTTGTCTTCCAGCCAAGAGAGGACAAAGGGACTGTCTTCTTAAGAGATAGATTCCAAGTGTATGCTACTTCATTAAGCTAAGTCTGCCTTCTGGGATCTGATTGTGAACAGAATGTCAGTAAACTCTTTTTATACTTTTGTAGAAGACTGTGTCGTCTCTTTTATTTTATGAGGGAATAAGGGAAAATACCGGAACAGTTATTATAGAGGCTTTACCGAGCCTGAGCAAAACGCATCCGTTTCAAACCTAAAATTAAGGGGAATTTTACTCTGCTGAAATTGTGGAACTTGTTAACACAAGTTGGATAAGGATATAATATATCCTCTCCTGCATCCCTGAAAATTCCCACAGCATCCAGAGATCTCCACGTGGTTGCAGTTGGACCCGTGCCAGTTGCAAAACGTGCCTGGAGCCTAGCTAATTTCTAGCACTGCCTTCCCATTGAAGCCCGCCCCCAATGCCTTGTTTACATTGACAACACGGAGTCCAGATCCAGGTTGAAGTCATTCAGCCCATACTGAGAGAGGCACACTCTCTTTTGTTACGACTTTGCATGCTTCAGCATGACTGGGACTTAACTCAGGAGAAAATGCACTTGGAGGCTAAACCCTCCTCTTTGAAGAGGATGAGATTCAAACCGAGGTCTAAGCTCTGTGCTGTCTCCTTTGCCTCTTTCCCTCCCTCTTCCTGCAAAGCCTCGAGTACGGAAGAGACGGTGGAGGAGACCGCATCGCTGTGGGTGTGTTTGAGGATGAAGATGAAAGTCGAGACACGATTGGGCTCCATCGGAAGGAGGAGGTCAGTTCAGCCCCTTGCACCCCACGAACCCAGAACCTCTTGGTCTGCCTGACCCAGCTGCAGAGGTCCCTGGAAAACCTCCAAGTATCCTCCCCCGTTTTCCTGGCATGTGAGCCAGAGAACTCAGATGGGCTTTCAAGTGCCTCTAGGTTCTATATTTAAATATGCCCTTTATCTATATGCTATATATACCTATATATATATATATATCTGAGTATTTTGTCAGTTTTAACATATCGTTTAACAGTGATTAAGCATACTTTGCATCTTATTCAAGTTTTGACTGCCATCAATTCTGTCTGAGAATTTGCCAACTAATCTCTCAGTATGCATCTAATCTCCCAGTGTTACGTTTCAAACTCAGATACCAATATCTATCGTTTTCTAATTTGTAGCACTCTGTGATTTCTCCTGCAGAACTTATTGTAGTCCATAACGAATTTGCTGATTACAGTTGCCTTCAAATAATTCATATACTTCTTCCAATCTTCTGTAAATCTCTGGTCCCGCAGGTTTCGAATCCTTCCTGTCAGTTTGGCCAATCTGCATAGACCATTAATTTGTCTGCCATTCTTCTTTAGTCAGAATTTCTTCTTGTTTGCATTTCTGGGCTAACAATACTTTGCTGCAGTTGCTGGCATATGGAAACAATTTAACATCTTGCCTATTAATGTCCTGACCTATAATACCAAGTAAGAATGCTTCTGGCTTTTGAAAAATGTCTATTTCAATATCTTTCTCATCTCATTATATATCATTTCCCAGAGGTTCTTTACTTTTTTACATTCCCACCACATATGATAAAATGTTCCTTCTTTTTCTTTACATTTCCAACATTTATTATTTGTCTTATACATTTTAGCTACCGTATTTTTCGCCCTATAGGACGCACCTTTTCCCCTCCAAAAATGAAGGGGAAATGTGTGTGCGTCCGATGGGGTGAATGCAGGCTTTCGCTGAAGCCTGGAGAGCCCCACCGCCAGCCCCACAAGCTCGCAACGTGGTTTGGAGGCTGGCGGAGGGCTTCCCCCTCCCCCAGCCGCAAGCTCCCAGAGTGATGCTGAAGCTGCCCGCAGCTTCGGCATCGCTCTGGGACCCGTCTCTGGGGGCTGGGGCTGAGGCTCAGGCTCCCCGCCCCAGCCCCAGCCTGGGGGAGCTAGTCCCTTCATCCCCCAAATCTAGGTGCGTCCTATAGGGTGAAAAATACGGTAATTTCACTGGTGTAATATACCATCTATACATCATTAAATGTGCCCTTATCTCAGCTTGAACCCTGCAAGGTAGTCTAGTCTGAGAGCAGCAGTGGGGAACAAGAGAGACTCGCCCAAGGCTGCCATCTGAGATGCCAAAGCTCTCTCAAGACAACCCCAGTGTTAGAAACTGGGATAGAAAAGCTAGGAGCCAAGTGGCTTTTGGGTGCCAAATCAGAATGTCTAGTCGCCTCTTTAAAATATATATAACTTTTTTGCTGCCGGGTGAATCAGGGAGTCTCAACAGCTGATTCATACGTCAGCATGGCAGCAAAAAAGACGTGTCAGATCAGCTGACTGCCGCCAGGCAGGTGGAGATGCTTCGCACCAAGGGTCTTGCCTGGACATCTTCATTCAATCGCAAAAGGCTGGTTGCCAGTCGCAAAATGCAACAGGTGCCCGGCTCATTTCAAACGCTGCTCAGAGCTCCCGGCAGCCCCTGACTCTTGACCTGCTTTCTCCTCTGTGCCAGTGTATGTGCCCCCTTTGCCCTTTGCATCCATCTCTCTCTTCCGGGTTCCATTCAGAGAAAGGGGAACTATGACATCCCACTTGTACATTGCTAAGGAGACCAGAAGAGCATAAAGTGAAGTTTTTATTTTATTTTATTTTATTTTATTTTATTCACATAATATACATTCTTTACAACAAGCAACTCCAAAATAAGCAGACAATTCCAAAATAAAATCATGAAGGGGACAGGTTATCCCACCTAGGTCTCTGTAGTCACCCCGCCCTCACCAGGCCTCAAGACTTTTCAAATTACCGTATTTTTTGCACCATAACACTCACTTTTTTCCTCCTAGAAAGTAAGGGGAAATGTCTGTGCGTGTTATGGAGGGAATGCCTACGGGTGGCATGCCTACGGATTTTCCTCCTCTAAAAACTACGTGCGTGTTATGGTCGGGTGCGTGTTATAGAGCGAAAATACGGTACTTTCTCATTTAGCTTTTCTCACAGATGCTGCTGCATAAGCAAAGCGTTCTTTTTATCAGTGCAAGAAAGCTTCAAAAGCTAATGAATGGCTGTGTCAATGCCAAGCAGAAGCAGGCCTGAGAACTGAGTCTTATCTTACCCAGTTGCAACAAATCTTGGACACGCTGACACACAGGCTTCTCAACCCCCTTTTTCCTGGGAAGAGCGCCAGGAGTCCCAAGACAGGAGTTTCTGTTCATGCTCAGGAAAACTCATGAGGCAGGGCTCCTGAGGAGGGGGAGAAAGGGGGGGAGCCTGGAGGGAATATATGCTGCGTGCAGTGGCTGTAAAGTTGTGCTTGCTTGTGAAGTATCACGCTAGCTCCTTCTGCTACCCGGAAGGCAGAATAAATAGCTCTTTCTCTGGATTAACCCTTCGGTGTCTGTTTGACTCCTCCTCCTCTCCCCGGGTGCAATGCTCTTTCCATCCGTGAGAAAGGCCTAAAAAGGCTACAATCATATGTAACAAAACCATGTTTTCATTTACACGGATCTCCTCTCCGATACCTTTACTTGATATTTCTTGAAGTTTTTAACGGTAGTAGTAAAACATTAAAAAAAATCTTTTCAGAAGAACGTCCTTCGCTACTATCAGTTTGAAGGTTTGCGCTATATCTGGATTGAGAAGTGGGGTGCCTTCTGCAAGGCCAGGTAAGCCTCTGCCTTCGGGGTGCACTAGGCTGGGACTTTGCTCCCCCTCTGTTGCCAGCAGCCGAAATTGTATAGTTTGCATGGGTCTGTGCAAATTTTCCTCGCCCCAAATTTGATTCCTGCAATTTGTATGTAGTAGTTTGTTCTAGCTTTTCATTTTGCTTCTAGCATGTTCTGTCCCATGACTGGTTGTTTGCCGTCGGTTGCCAGAATGCTCTGGAATGTATCCAGCTAAGCAATACAGTGATACCTCGGGTTACAGACGCTTCAGGTTACAGACCCCGCTAACCCAGAAATAGTACCTCTGGTTAAGAACTTTGATTCAGAATGAGAACAGAAATCGTGCTCCGGCGCCACCACGGCTCCGTGTGCTGCTCTGGCTCGTCAGAAGCGGCTTAGTCATGCTGGCCACATGACCCAGAAGCTGTACGCTGGCTCCCTCTGTTGGTTTCTGCTTTCCTTCACTGTGCAGCAACTGCAGTCACAAGACATTGTTTTGCATTCCACAGTCTGTACTGTTGGAGTTTCTCACGGGAAAGGGAGACTGGATGTGACGTACACTGGTTTCCTGTTTTTTCACTGTGTGATTCTCTCCGAGCTGTTGAGGAGAGAGGATGCATTTCTCTGCTCCTGCAGAGGCAAGATGTCTTTCTGTAATATACCAGCTTTGAACTGTAAATAAAGCAATATAGAGTATGTATCACATTTTCCTCATCCTTCCGCTTGGCACGAGACTCTGCTGTAAATCAACACGTGGTTATGGACTCCAGAGGTCGAATCGGAGTGCCGGCAAAGGATCGGAATGCAGAGGGACGGATCGGAAAGGAATCTGCTCTGCGCGTAGAAGTGATTGATGAGGTATGTGCTACTGCTCCGGGCAGCCTGCCAGCTTCAAGATAATGGCTTTATGGCTGGACTTTGAACTTTTAAAGCCGGTTTTGCCGGGAATAGGCAAAAGGCTCCCAGGCACAAGTCACTATGCTGGGGAAATCGAAAGTAACTTTTAAGTGTGCCTTTGTGATAAGGCAGCTGCAGCAGTGACGCAGCAAGAATTAAAGCAGCATATATGACGCTGAAGGCTAATGCCAGAGTCATGATGGCCCTTCAGGATGCTTGTGGGATTCCTAAGCTCAACAAGAAAAATTACAGCGACTGGGTTCAGTATGCAGAGGCAATTCTGCGGAAAGAGGGTTTGTTTGAGGTGATTACAGGAACCCCCCCAGTTCCAGTTACAGATGCATGGGAAGCTAAGGATTCCAAAGCAAGGGGAACTCTTACATTGATAGTATCCCCAGAAGAGCTCTGTCTATTGCGTGATAAGACCTCAGCCAGAGAAATTTGGGACGCTCTGAGAGAGGCTCACTTAAGGACAGAAGCTGGATCCACTATGTTTTATTTTAACAAGCTGCATAATATGGCTCTTGCTGAAGGTGGAGATGTGCGTTTACATCTGATGGAGATGCAAAATCTGAGACATGAGCTGCAACAGAGAGGACTCAACTTTCCAGAGGCTGTGTATTCTTTCATGATACTACAATCTTTGGGTTCAGGTTGGGAGTCTGTTGCAACCCAGATTGCTGTGCAACCAACTGCTCAGCTGACAGTGGACTTTGTTACTGCCGTGATTTTAAATGAAGCAGATCGCCGGGTGCTAGCTGCATGGGCAAGGGGAGTCTTCACAGACGTCATCCCATAGTGCAGTGGAACCACCAGATGGCGCCAAAGCTTTGAAGGCAGTCAAATGCTACTCGTGTGGACGTCTAGGCCATATGAAGAGGGAATGCAGACATCCCAGGGCCAAGACAGAGCAGCGCAGCGAAAGCTCATCGCGCGGAAAAGGCCGAGGCAAAGGCAAAGGTCCGGTGTCTAGGACAACGCAGCACAAGGCTATGGTTTCACGCTTCACTCCAAAGGTTGCAGAGGTCCAGAAGACGTCTAGATCTTTCTTCGTTGTTGATTCAGCGGCCACCCACCACATGTGCAACGATAAGAAACTGTTTGTGTCTTTTACACCGCAGGAAGGTGCGATTCACCAGGCGGATGACCACACTATTCCCAGTAAAGGCTACGGAACTGTTGTTCTTCACAGTTTGGACTTATCGATACAGAATGTGCTTTACGTGCCAGACGCCAAACATAATCTGCTCAGCGTTGGACAGCTGAATGAGCGGAACATTGACGTTTCCTTCAAGAACAAGAAGTGCATCATCACAAAGAAAAATGATTATGTATTGCATGCAGAATATGTTGATCATTTGTTTGTTTTGTATTATGATGATGTGGTGCAGGATGACACTTGTTGCATTGCAGGTTCTAACAAAAGTTTGCATGCAGAATGTATTCACGATTTTCATCGAAAATTTGGTCATTTGCATTTTGAGGCAGTATCTAAAATGCCTGCCTTGGTTGAAGGTATGACTATTAAACCCTGCAGGTACCACATGAAGTGCAAAGCATGCGCAGCAAACAAGGTGAAAATGGCTGCGAAAGGTAAGGTGTCTAGTAGGAAAGCTACAGAACCATACCAGGTTGTTCATGCTGATTTGGTTGGACCACTAGCGCCCTCTTTGGGTGGAAATAGATACTTCATGGTTCTCATTGATGCATTTTCTAGATATATTTTTGTGTACAATCTCAAGCAGAAATCGGAGGCTTTTCCTAGGTTCAAGGAATTCTGTGCTTGGTTGGAAAATGTGCATGGTAAGAAGATAAAGACTCTTTTCAGTGATCGCGGGGGGGAATTCACTTCTCAGCAGTTTGAAGCTTTTCTGACTGAGAAAGGAATTCAACACGATTTGTCTAGTCCTCGCTCGCCATGGCAGAATGGACTTGCGGAACGGGCAAATCAGACATTGCTTCAAGGATTAAAAACCTTGCTGCATGATGCCAATCTTCCAGAGAGTTATTGGGCCGAATCTCTCTCGTGTTTTGTTTACAGTTACAATCGCAGGTTATCTTCAGCGATTGGTTGTACCTCTATGAGAAGATGTTTGGCAAGAAGCCATACATCAAACACATGAAGATTTTTGGTTCTGACATGTGGGTTCGCTCACCACAAAACTCCAAGTTAGACAAGCGTGGATTGCATGGTATCTTTCTAGGTTATCAGAAAGGGTCTTACAGAATAATGATGACTGACTCTAAGACAATTAAGCTCACGAGAAGTGTTGAGTACAATGCAAAGTGGGGGAGAATGTGGGAATTTTCCAATGTTATCCTGATGACGGTGATGAGACTGAGGATAGTCAAAGCAACCACAACAGCCCACACCCACTGATGAAGGTTCTGAGTCTGAATCTGAAACTGAATCGGGTGATTCAGAGGATTTCAAGAGTGCGAAAGCCTCTATGCGACCCTCTGAAAGCTCTGATCAAGAATTGGAGGAACCATTGTTCACAATAGGTCGTTTTTCTCCTAAGAAGGAAGAGGAGAGTGTTGAAGACTTAAGGCTAATTCGTAGGTCACAGAGAGTCACAAAAGGCAAACCTCCAAAGAGATTTGCTGATGAGTTTGCTAAGATAGCAGTAACAGCTGTTAAAAGCTCCAAGAAGGTATTTGAACCTTCAAGTTTCCAAGAAATCCAGGGTTTGGATTCAAAGGAAGCTGAGCCATGGTTAAATGCCATGAAGGCTGAGCTTGATTCCTTAGAAAGGAACAAAACATGGGAGCTAGTTCCAGTAGTTCCAGGAATGAAACTGCTTGGAAGCAAATGGGTCTTCAAAGCGAAGACAGATCAAAATGGCAAGATAGTCAGACACAAAGCCAGATTGGTAGCCAGAGGTTTTGCACAGGTACCAGGTGAAGACTATCACGAGACCTATTCACCCACAGTGAGATATGAAAGCATTAGGCTTATGCTCAAGCTAGCTGCAGAGGAAAATCTACACATTAGTCACCATGATATTAATACAGCTTTTCTGTACGGATCTCTAGATGAATCACTTTATATGCTTCCACCTGATGGCGTACAGGTAAAACAGGGATTTGTTTGTGCTCTGAAGAAATCCCTTTATGGTCTCAAACAAAGTGCACGGTGTTGGCACACAAAACTCACTGAAGTATTGTTTCTCTAGGTTTTCAGCAAGGGAAAGCTGATCCATGTGTATTTGTCAAAGAGGAGGGGCAAAAGAAACTGTACTGTTTGTTTTATGTTGATGATTTATTATTCTTTTGGAAAGATGTCGCAATGTACAATAACGCCCTAGCTCAACTGAAAGAGCACTTTGACATGAAAGATCTTGGTGAGGTAAACAACTACCTATCTCTGGAAATAGAGAGAGATCAAGATGGTAACATTCTAGTACACCAGTCACGGAAAATTGCTGATGTGTTAAGCAAACTAAATCTGATGGATGCTAACCCTGTAGACACACCGATGACAACAGGTTATCAGGTAGATGACACTGAAGAAGCATTTTCTGACACTACACTGTACAGGAGTGTGCTAGGCAAGCTAAACTTCATTGCCAGATGTTCAAGACCAGACATTGCTGTTAGCTGTAATTTGCTAAGCAGACAAGTCAACAATCCTAGTGTCAAGGATTGAAAGCTCTGAAACGCATAGCGCGGTATTTGAAAGGCACTATGCATTACAGACTGAGATTTAACAATCAGAAGTCTGGTGGTCTTGAGATATTTGCAGATGCAAGTTTTGGAAGTGACACTACAGACAGGAAAAGTACGTCTGGAGTTTGCTACATGTACAATCAGAGTCTGTTTGATTGGTCATGCAAGAAGCAAACAACAGTTAGCTTAAGTACTTGTGAAGCTGAACTGAATGCACTGTCTTATTCACTTAAGGATTGTGAATGGTTAGTACAATTGTGCAAAGATATGAAAATTCCTGTCAAATGTCCAATCCAGGTTTACCAGGACAACAAAGCATGTTTGGCTTTGCTGAAGTCTGAAGGTTGTGAGTAAAGCACAAAGCACTTGCAATTAAAGTTGCAGCATGCTAGGGAATGTATTCAGAAGGGACTCGTAACGGTGTCCTATATGCCAGGTAATGAAATTCCTGCTGATGTATTGTCCAAGATTGTATCAAGGGATCAACACTGTACCTATGTGCAGAAGTTGGGTTTGTACTGATATTGTACAAACACGCTGCCCAGTGATGTTCACAGAAAGGGGAGGATGTTGGTTTCTGCTTTCCTTCACTGTGCAGCTACTGCATGTCACGAGACAGGTGTTTGCATTCCACAGTCTGTACTGTTGGAGTTTCTCACGGGAAAGGGAGACTGGATGTGACGTACACTGGTTTCCTGTTTTTCACTGTGTGATTCTCTCCGAGCTGTCGAGGAGAGAGGATGCATTTTCTGCTCCTGCAGAGGCAAGATGTCTTTCTGTAATATACCAGCTTTGAACTGTAAATAAAGCAATATAGAGTATGTAACACATTTTCCTCATCCTTCCGCTGGGCACCAAGACTCTGCTTTAAATCAACACCCTCGGCCAATAAAGCGAGATGAACGCCACAACTCCAGAGTCGGTCACGCCTGGACTTAATGGTCAGGGGTCCCTTTACCTTTACCACTGTACTTTGATTAGACCCATTGGAATTATAGAACCTAAATTAGTTGTGTCTTCAGTGAGTCTGATCTGAGAGAGCCAAGCATTGAATGCAACCCTCTGTGACATCACAGCAACTTAGCCAATGGAAGCTCAGGGCTCCGAAATAAGGAAATGCCTGTTTTTAACCTGTTGGTGGCAGATACAGGCTATCTCTTTGTCTCTCTCTTCTGTGTATTTTGCAGTGTGTTGGATGAAAGCTGGACTTTCTCTGATATCCACCTCTCCCTCTGTGGACTAAGTGCTGAAGAACAAGCTGTCAGGTGAGCATGAACAGCACTGATGCCTATCAAAAGGTCATAAAGCTGCCCCTAGGCTGCCACCTGTCTTTCGTTTGCCAAGCTTCTCTGATTTTTGCACCACAGAAATCTAGATTTTACTCTTAATTTTGCACAACTGAGGATCATGTGAAAACAGATTCTGCCAAAAGGTTCAGAGGCTGTTGGTTCAAATGCCTGCATTCTCTTTTTGCTCCCCCACCAGCAATGAAATGAAAAGGATGGTTAGAGGGATCAATTAATAAAGGCTGATTTATCTAGGCTTGAGTAACACTAATTATTTCTTTGAAATCCCTCCTTAAATCTATGAAATAAGCAATTCACACTTAATGCTCTACAGTGGTACCTCAGGTTACATACACTTCAGGTTACATACGCTTCAGGTTACAGACTCTGCTAACCCAGAAATAGTACCTTGGGTTAAGAACTTTGCTTCAGGATAAGAACAGAAATCATGTCTTTTGGCGTGGCGGCAGCAGGAGGCCCCGTTAGCTAAAGTGGTGCTTCAGGTTAAGAACAGTTTCAGGTTAAGAACGGACCTCCGGAACGAATTAAGTACTTAACCCGAGGTACCACAGTAATTTAAACACAGGGGCTTTATTTTGCTTTATAGATTCCACCATGGGGTGGCCGGGGTGTGTGTGTTGTTGACTCTTATAAAAATGGCTTACAAAATGTCTAAATCTGATGCAACTAACTGAATATTTGTTGGCACATGCAATAAAACTTGGCAGAAAAAAAGGCTTTCTAAATTCAGGTGTTTTCAGAATGGGTGCTGTGATGGATTTCTGCATTTGAGGGGCTGTTGCCCAAAACTGTTGGATTAAATCTCGCTTTGGGTTTTCCAGCCTTCATAAGATGCGATGCAATGTATGTGTGTTCTCCATGAGCGCCAACCCAAGCCGCTACCTCCGTCAGAAGGGCTGCAAAATCTATTTGATCTGGTTCTCTGTGGCAAGGCCTGAGCTAGGAAGGGGTGTAGATTAGTTTCTTTTGTTTTGCTCTTCCATGTTTTTTAAAAAGCAGCGCTTTATATCTCTTTGATGCTGATGTTTTCTAGTAGCCTCTCAGCTCCCCCAGCCAGGTTGGGTTGGCTAGAAATGCAAACGGATGCAACCCTCAGCCCAGTCACGGAACATCTGGTGACATTATGGATCCTGTGCCAAAACTGACCTGTGCATTCTCTTCTCTCCTCACCCTCTGCTTGGACAGGAGAAAGATTTACGGGCGGAACCTGATCGATGTACCTGTAAATTCTTACTTCAGGCTGCTGAGAGATGAGGTTTGCCTTTATGGAAATAATAATAATAATAACAACAACAACAATAATAATAATAATAATATATTATTTATACCCCGCCCATCTGGCTGGGTTTCCCCAGCCACTCTGGGCGGCTTCCAACAAAACACTAAAATACAATCACCTATTAAACATTAAAAGCTTCCCTAAACAGGGCTGCCTTCAGATGTCTTCTAAAAGTTTGGTAGTTGTGTTTCTCTTTGACATCTGGTGGGAGGGCGTTCCACAGGGTGGGTGCCACTACCAAGAAGGCCCTCTGCCTGGTTCCCTGTAACTTGGCTTCTCGCAGTGAGGGAACCGCCAAAAGGCCCTCGGAGCTGGACCTCAGTGTCGGGGCAGAACGATGGAGGTGGAGACACTCCTTCAGATATACTGGACTGAGGCCGTTTCACTCTGGTTTGCTGGGCGTGGGGAGGGGAAGACCTTTTCCTTCCCTGGGAAAATGGGTCCCTAGACGAGACAAGCTGGCAGTGCCCATTTGGATATACATTTCTGGTCTGGGGGGTCATTTGATAGAGAACGGCCTCCCCTGCCCTCACAGAATAAACTTCAGTGGGGCAGAAGCTTAGGTTTTGAGGAAGCTGAGCTCCAGTGTGGTGTAGTGGTTGAGAGCGGTAGTCTTGTAATCTGGGGAACCGGGTTCGCGTCTCTGCTCCTCCACATGCAGCTGCTGGGTGACCTTGGGCCAGTCACACTTCCTTGAAGTCTCTCAGCCCCACTCACCTCACAGAGTGTTTGTTGTGGGGGAGGAAGGGAAAGGAGAATGTTAGCCGCTTTGAGACTCCTTAAAGGGAGTGAAAGGCGGGATATCAAATCCAAACTCCTCTTCTTCTTCTTCTTCTTCAGTGTGGTCCACAAAATGCTTTTAGCTGGGAACCATCTGGGAGGGTTTCCCCCCTGTGCTGACAGCCACCAGCTCACAGACCGCCCCCCCCCCAGCTTCCTGCGAGTGGCCTTGCATCTTCTGATAAACGTTTTATTAACTCTGCCCTCCCCTTCTGCTGTCCTCCCCACTCCAGGTCTTGAACCCGTTTTACATCTTCCAGATTTTCAGCATCGTCTTGTGGAGCTTCGACGAGTACTATTATTATGCTGCCTGCATCTTCCTCATTTCTGCGGTCTCCATCGGGATCTCTCTCTACGAGACGAGGAAGGTGGGCTCAGCCTCGGTCGCACAAAGGCAGGGGGGCTGGTGGCCTTGAGTAGGCTTGCCATATTTCAAATCCGGACACAAAGCATCGTTGAGCTTCTTTTTGGACAAAGTTGTTGGCAAAATTGATGTTTTTTGAGCTGTTTTTAAGGGAAACCGTTCCCGTACGTCCAGATTTTCCCAGACGTCTTGCGGTTTTCTGCCCAGGCACTGTCTGGGAAATTCTGGTTGTATGGCAACCCTACAGGCAGCCTCAACCCTGAAGCACAGCCCCCTGCAGTGAGGGGGAGGGGGCTGCCAGGCACTTTTGAATGGAGCCTCACCCACCAGTGCCTCTCAGGTGTGGTGTTCCAGTGCTAGGCAGCAGCCGTGCTTCCTTGGCTACTAATTCCCTTGGCATTACAATAGGCCGGGCACTTCTTGGGCACATGGGCAGAGCAGGGGAGGGGACTCCCGTTGAGCTCCAGAGTGAGGTCTGGCGGCTGGCACTAGTCCTCCCTCTCCTGATACTTTTACCGTCACGCTTGGTCCCTGCAGCAAAGCATCACCTTGCAGAAGATGGTGAAGATGGCAGTCAACCTGCAAATCCGCAGAGCCTCAGGAGGTAAGCAAGCAGCCGCCGACAGCTTCCCCCATCCTTGAGGCTGTTCCCTCTTGGCGATGAGCCCTTGGGAAGGGAATTCTCCCATGTTCAGCTCTCTCTAATCCAGAATGCTAATCAACTAATCCAGAATGCGGCAGCTAGACTGGTGACTGGGAGCGGCTGCCGAGATCATATAACTCTTAAAAGACCTACACTGGCACCCAGTACATTTCTGAGCACAATTCAAAGTGTTGGTGTTGACCTTTAAAGCCCTAAAAGGCTTCCCAGAGTGGCTGGGGAAACCCAGCCAGATGGGCAGGGTATAAATAATAAATTATTATTATTATTATTATTATTATTATTATTATTATTATTATTATTATTATTTTCTCTCCTTAGCCTTGACCACCCACTTCCTTTGCTCATCTCTGCCCGTAACGAGTTTGGCCATTTGTTCTGCTTTCCTTGGTTTCCGCTGTTGTATATTTGGTTGAGTTCCTCTGTGTCTCATCACAGAATCATTTCATACCTCAGCAACCTTTTAATGTGTTGAGTTTGGGTTTTTCCATCTCTTGGGATGACTTCTGGTGGTTCCCTCCCTGCGAGAAGTGAGATTACAGGGAACCAGGCAGAGGGCCTTCTTGGTGGTGGCGCCCGCCCTGTGGAAGGCCCTCCCATCAGATGTCAAGGAAATAAACAACTATCTGACTTTTAGAAGACATCTGATGTCAGCCCTGTTTAAGGAAGTTTTTAATGTTTGATGCTTTATCACATTATTATTATTATTATTATTATTATTATTATTTCTGTTGGGAGCCGCCCAGAGTGGCAGAGGAAACCCAGCCAGATGGGTGGGGTATAAATAATAATAATAATAATAATAATAATAATAATAATGCCAATGGTGAAAAAACAGGAGAGCACCTGACCTTTCTAGAAATTACTGTATTTTTCGCTCTATAGGATGCACCCGACCATAAGACGCACCCAGTTTTAGAGGGGGAGAACAAGAAAAAAAATTCTCTCCCTCTCTGCGCAGCGCCTCTCCAGCAAAGCGGGAGGAGAAACAGAAGGGGCTCCGTTTCTCCTCCCGCTTCGCTGAAGAGGCGCTGTGCAGAGAGGGAAAGCTGTGTAGCGCCTCTCCAATGAAGCAAAGCCAGGAGAGCAAGAGGGATCGGTGCACACCGACCCCTCTCACTCTTCAGGCGGCTACCTCTGAAGCCATGGAGCCTGCATTCGCTCCGTAAGATGCACACACACATTTCCCCTTAATTTTTGGAGGGGGAAAAGTGCGTCTTATAGAGCGAAAAATACGGTATCCCTTTAGCTCTAGTTGCAGCCTCCCCGCCTGCTTTTTTTTCCTTTTTAAAACTTGTGAGAACTCTTGCCTTCTTCCTTCCCGGAGAGGTGTGACCCGTTTTCTCTTTTGGTGGCTGGTGGTGTTGAACAGAGATAGTGACAGTGAGCTCCATGGACCTGGTGCCAGGCGACTGCATTGTCGTGCCCATGGATGGACTTCAGGTCCCGTGCGATGCCGCCTTGCTGACGGGCGAGTGCCTGGTGAACGAGAGCATGTTGACCGGTGAGGACAGAGCAGGGTGCTGGCTGGGGGATGAGCTGCTTTAGGGCCTGCCACTGGGCTTGGCTGGGTGTTGGCCATTCATCCTCAGTGGGCCTCTTTCCCTCCAGGCGAGAGCATCCCAGTGATGAAGACCTCTTTGCCCGAAGGCCCCCAAGCGACCAGCACTGTGTATTCCCCTGAGGAACACAAGCGTCACACGCTGTTCTGCGGAACGCAGGTCATCCAGGCAAGACCGTACGTGGGCCCTGAGGTTCTGGCAGTGGTCACTCGCACAGGTCAGCTTAATGAAGCACAGAGCGGATTTGATTTAAATCAAATCCAATTATTATTATTTTTTTAAATGATATTTATTAAAGTTACAAAAAATAGAAGCAATACAAAATACAGAAAAAAAGAGTAATTTTTTTAAAAATATAACAAAAAAGTAAAGAATAAAAAAGAAACAAACAAAATAAAACAGTTAAAAAGACATTAATTTTCCAAACCTATCTTCTCTAGACTTATTTCCCCGGACCTCCTCATACCTCCCTTTTTTGTATTCCAGTTCAGTTTGTTAGTTCAGCAAATCCTTACCATTAAACTTTTGCCCAATTGTAAGCCTTTTTTCATATCTCTTAGAGCATTACAGCTAAAAAACTCTTAGTTTCTATCCAACATCCTTCTAAGATTCCTTAATTTTACAATATTTCTGTAAATAGTCTTTAAATTTCTTCCAGTCTTCTTTCACCGGCTCTTCTCCCTGGTCTCGGATTCTGCCAGTCATTTAAATCAAATCCAATTAAATCAAATTGATTTAAAACACTGTTAGGTTGTGGGTGAACATATCGGACGACACAGCAATTCTTCAAACAGCTCTTGTTTATTCACAGACCAGAACAGAACTGAACTGAACTGAAGGGTTCAGCCAACCTGCTTATATAGAGCTCCAGTACAATGTAACTGTAACAATTTTCTAAAACTATCCAATCACTGAACGTCACTTTCGATCCCTTATTTGCATAACTATCTACAGTATCCCCCTGCTGGCCCAGGGTGAGAACTTCAGTACATAACAAGCACGATTTAAATCACTAGTCAGTAAGACTTGATTTAAATATTTTTTTTACAGAAAGACTCGTTCTTGCTGGTATAATCTTAATACAGTCATACCTCGTGTTGCGTTAGGTTCATGTTGCGTCTTTTCAGCTTGCAAACGCGGCAAACCCAGAAGTGTATACTTCCAGGTTTCAGCACATGCGCAGAAGCGTTTTGCACATGCGCAGAGGCGCTCTATCATGCTCCGTGCTTGCACAGAAGCGCCGCTCTAGTTGCAGACGTTTCGGAGTGCAAACGGCACCCCGAAATGGATCATGTCCGCAACTAGATCATGTACCACTGCATTTACAACCAGATTAAGGTTTCATTATTCGAATAATAAACAATTTTTAGAGTAGTTTTTACAGTTCTATCAACATTTCTGATTTGGGTATACTGTTAGAAGTACATAGATAGAAAATTATGAAATTATTGTGAGGTTTAATAAGTTAACATTTGGACAACTTTTCTGCTGTACTTTATTGGAAGGAGAAAAACCATCATTTCCTTAATAACAATAACATTATAGCATACGTATCCATGTTTGTTAACTGATGTGGTTAAACAATTTTTTTTAAAAACCACACCCTTAGACTTAAACTTAAAACAAATGCTTATTTCCTGATGAATAGCCTTTGGACTGTACTGTAACTTAAATAGAAAACTATATTTAGAAAGATTTTTCCTCCAAAAGCATTTTATTTTTATTTTTATTTATTTATTTTAAGATATAAACTTTATTGATTTAACATATCATCTTACAAATACACTACAAATGGTTACAGCGAAGAATGAAGAAAATAAAAATAAAAAGAGTTAATAATAAGAAAAGAATATCAGTTATAGCATCATAATAAAGCATTTTATTTTAAAAATCCTATCTAAATAAAAAAAATCTGATTTAAATTTTAAAAAATCATTTTTTTAATTAAAAAAACCCTGTTTTTTTTAAAAAAAAAAACATTGATTTTTATTTACCTTCATGAAGCGGGATGTGCGTTCCATCCCACCCCCAGTTTTAGTCCCTTGGCTGAAGGTGCTGAGCATCTTTTGGACAGCAATCTGCTTAGCTACTCTCTGTGTTCCTGGAGTGCCCTTACTCTCCTGCGGCTGAGATGGCATTTTCTGAAACTGCAGCCTCATGGTCTCTGCCCCCTGCACACTCACAAGGGGGGGAAGGCCCCCAGGGCAAAGCGATTCTGAGCCTGCAGTGAGGGCCTCCTGCCCATGGGTTGGCTCTGCTCCCTGCCAGAGACCTGGGACTGTGGCTGCTGCTTTGATCCCTCAAGGTTTGCTGCTGCTGCTGCGGCACTTTCTTTTTTTTTAAATGATATTTATTAAAGTTTCAGATAAAAAGAGACACATCGATAAAAAAGAATTTAACAGTAAAAAGAAAAATACACACTACAAAATACAAAAATAAAAAGAAAAAAAAACAGTTAAAAACAATTCCATCTTTTCATCACTACTTTTGAATTTACTTATTTTCTGGACCTCCTCATACCTCCCTCTTTTGTATTCCAATTCAGTTTATTTGTCCAGCAATTCCTTTCCCTCTTTTTTAATCCCAATCCTTAATCTTAATATAGTAGACATTAAATTTTTATCTATTAATAGCCAATTTTCCATTCTTTTAACCTTTTTATTCCTAATCCTTAATCTTAATCTATATATAACTTTAAAGCCTGTGCAGCTAGAAACCATTTAATTTCAATCCAACATCACTCTAACATTCATTAATTTTGCAATATTTCTGTAAATAATCTTTGAATTTCTTCCAATCTTCTTCCACCAAGGCACTTTGAACTTTTCCCTCGGCACATTTTGGGGTTCTGCCCGCCTCACCCCCTTCCCCTCCTCTCTCTCTCTAGGCTTCTACACAGCCAAAGGAGACCTCATCAGCTCCATCCTTCACCCCAAGCCACTCAGCTTTCGGTTTTATAAAGACGCATGGAAGTTTGTTGGTTTTCTCACAGTCCTGGGTAAGTTTGTGAAGATGTCAGCCCGCAGTTTGGCAGCCATGGAAAAGGCAAACTTCATGCCCCCAGGGATCGTGAGGGAGGAAAAAATTGAAAACAAAACTGCTAGTGTCATAATGCCACAAATCTATGGTGTGGTTGCCTTAGGAGTTCTGTGTGCAGTTATGGTCACCGCACCTCACAAAGGATATAATAATAATAATAATAATAATAATAATAATAATAATATTTTATTTATATCCTGGCCAGAGATGGGCTCAGGGCAGCTAACACCAGTAAAATTACAATAAAAACATAAAGGGGGGGAACCAATTTAAAATACAGGTTAAAATACAATTTAAAATGCAGCCTCATTTTAATAGTAGCCCATAGAGCAAAACCATAAGGGGAGGGAAACATAAGGGTCAGACTGAGTCCAAACCAAAGGCCAGGCCAGGCGGAACTGCTCTGTCTTGCAGGCCCTGCGGAAAGATGTCAAGTTCCGCAGGGCCCTAGTCTCTTGTGACAGAGCGTTCTACCAAGTCAGGGGCCAGTACTGAAAAGGCCCTGGCCTTAGTTGATACTTCACTGTTGGGAAAGGTTCCGCAAAAGGGCAACGAAAGCAATCAAGGGGGTGGAGTGGCTACCCTATGAGGAATGTTGCGATGTTTGGGGACTTTCTAGTTTAGGGGAAAGGTGAGTAAGAGGTGTTGTGATAGAAATTTATGCAATTATGTACAGCATAGTATTGGGAAATGATACATAATGAATTGAAAAAAATGTTCAAAAGTACTTTCTCAAAAATCAACAACAACACACAACCCAGAGTCCTTTATGTTGGGAATAATCCAGACTGAAATTCCCAGGTGTCAGAAAAGGTTATTCATGTATGCCACTACTGCGGCCTGTGTTTTCTTAGCTCCAAAATGGAAAATGAGCAAGGTCCCAACCAAAGAAGAATGGCAACTTAAGTTGACAGAATATGTGCAGCTTGCAGACTTAACATATAGAATAAGAGAACAAGAAGAACATACATTTAGAGAAGACTGGAAAACATTTATTGAATGTACGGGAAATAGCTGTGTACAGCTGAAAACGCTAGCAGCATTAAGATAAATTCAACAGTGTGGATAAGTTTTGATGGATGCAATAACGGAATACTGAATGGTACGGTTTTTGTAAAATATGCAGGGATTTATGATATGCAAAATGAACCATGGAAAGAGAAGAAGGGAGGTCATTGATATCTTAAGGATGTAAAAATGAGTACTTTAAATTGTATAACAGAAAATCTAATAAGAATTAAATGAATGAATGATAAAATTATGCACAGCATGCAGAAATGTGGATAGGAAAAAGTTTCCCTCTCTCCCATAATGCTAGAATTCAGGGTTACTGTGGGATTATTCCCTATTGTGGGATTGTGACAGTCAAATCTCCTTTCTCTCTCCTTTGTCCTCCAGCGGCTATTGGTACCGGCTACAGCATCTACATCTTGTATCGAAACAAGGTCAGTGAAGTTCCACGGGGTGTGTGTGTGTGAGGGTTCTTCTGAGCCCCCCATCCTGCACCCCTATTCCCCAAATTGAGAGGTGCTTCTCACAATTTAAGAGAGTTGTGCCTGACAATTGTGTCAGAGCAAGCCACCGCCCATGGAGGCCTACTGGACCCCACAACCCTTTGCACTTTGAACCCGGCTTTTCTGGCCAGCCTGCCAGGAAAGGCACCCTTTGGGTGTTTTGCTTTGCTTGTTTTAGCTGCACTTTTGCTGTGGACCTTAGCCCAACGAGGGGTTTAAGGCAGTTCCCAGGAACTCCTGAAAACCTCACCAAAGCAATAGGAGTATAGCATCTAGATCAAGGGAAGTAATAGTGCCACTGTATTCTGCTCTGGTCAGACCTCACCTGGAGTACTGTGTCCAGTTCTGGGCACCACAGTTCAAGAAGGACACTGACAAACTGGAACGTGTCCAGAGGAGGGCAACCAAAATGGTCAAAGGCCTGGAAACGATGCCTTATGAGGAACGGCTAAGAGAGCTGGGCATGTTTAGCCTGGAGAAGAGGAGGTTAAGGGGTGATATGATAGCCATGTTCAAATATATAAAAGGATGTCACATAGAGGAGGGAGAAAGGTTGTTTTCTGCTGCTCCAGAGAAGCGGACACGGAGCAATGGATCCAAAGTACAAGAAAGAAGATTCCACCTAAACATTAGGAAGAACTTCCTGACAGTAAGAGCTGTTCGACAGTGGAATTTGCTGCCAAGGAGTGTGGTGGAGTCTCCTTCTTTGGAGGTCTTTAAGCAGAGGCTTGACAACCATATGTCAGGAGTGCTCTGATGGTGTTTTCTGCTTGGCAGGGGGTTGGACTCGATGGCCCTTGTGGTCTCTTCCAACTCTATGATTCTATGATTCTATGATTCTATGAAAGCATGGGGAGAAGGAGCCACGGGGAATACCAGCCAAGCACAAACAAGCAAGTCATTGGCTCATTTTGATTCATGTAATAATAATAATAATAATAATAATAATAATAATAATAATAATTTATTATTTATACCCCGCCCATCTGGCTGGGCCTCACCAGCCACTCTGGGCGGCTTCCAACAAAATATTAAAATACCGTAATACATCAGACATTAAAAGCTTCCCTAAACAGGGCGGCCTTCAGATGTCTTCTAAAAGTCTGGTAGTTGTTGTTCTCTGGTGGGAGGGTGTTCCACAGGGTGGGTGCCACTACCGAGAAGGCCCTCTGCCTGGCTCTCTGTAACGTCGCTTCTTGCAGTGAGGGAACTGCCAGAAGGCCCTCGGCGCTGGACCTCAGTGTCCGGGTAGAACGATGGGGGTGGAGACGCTCCTTCAGATATACTGGACCGAGGCCAGCAGCAAGGCAGTGGAATTTAAAAATTCCTGGGCACCAGGTGAAGGAGCCTGGCGTAATGAAACTTTGCAAACCTGGGGAGAGAACCAGGAAGGAAATGAAAAAACGGCATACCAGGGAGAGCTCTCCTAGCAAGAGGAAGTGACATCACTGGGGGGGGGTCACAAAGGCTCCCCAAGGGGAGACCCTGGGAGGGCTCAAATGGGAAGAATCCCATTCCTAGAGTGTTAATAGGGCTGCCAGTATCGTGCCCAACACTCTGAATTGTTGCTGGTTGAGAATGATATTCCCCATGGGAAGAACGCTTGGGCATGGGATGGTTCCTGTGAAGGTGTTCCCAGGAGTCCTTCCATCTTGTCTGGCCAATAACACACACACACTTCAAAAAGAGAAGAATAGTCTCCTTGGATGTCTCAGAACCAGGCAGCACCCTTTTGTGGAGCGGGGTCAGGCCTCATCCGTGCAGCTGATGTCGCATTTCGGATATTGCAGGGAACCCTTCAGGTGTGGAGAACCTGGCTGCTGGTGAACCATGGGGGCTTCTTGAGGCGGCTGCAGAAGGCGTTGCCTGCAGAAGGTCGCCGGTTCAATTCCCAGCAGCATCTCCAAGTAGGGCCACTGCTGCCAGCCAGTGTAGGAAGTATTGAGCTACGTGGCCAAGGGGCTGACCCAGGGCAAGGCAGCTCCCCCATGACTCCCTGCATCCTTCACCCCAACAGGAAACACTCCGGCAGATCATTCTGCGTGCCCTGGATGTCGTGACGGTGATTGTGCCCCCGGCCTTGCCGGCTGCGATGACGGTGGGCACCATTTATGCCCAGAACAGGCTGAAGCAGCAAGGGATCTTCTGCATCAGCCCCCCACGGATCAACCTCTGTGGGAAGGTGCGCCTGGTCTGCTTTGATAAGGTGAGGGTCCTAGGGCAGTGGGGGAGTGGGCTGCTAACCTCACCTGCCTGTTGCCTTGCCCATGCTCTGACTCAGCCTGTGTCTCCCCTAGACAGGGACCCTCACGGAGGACGGCCTGGACATTTGGGGCGTGGTTCCCCTGGAGAACGGCTCTTTCTTGCCCCTCGTCCATGAGCTGCACTGCTTGGACAGCGGTCCGCTGCTCTGCTGCTTGGCCACTTGCCACACCCTCTCTTGGCTTGGGGAGCAGCTCATTGGAGACCCTGTGGACCTCAAGCTGCTGGAATCCACTGGATGGGTGAGAGAAAGGCAGAGGTGGGAAGGGGAACCGATCTGAGCTCTGCTCTGCTGAGGAAACGGCACTGAGTTTCTGACTACAGTGAGCCATGTTTGCAAGAGCAAAAGGAGGGGCTGGATCTTGTCACCCCAGCTGAGGAACGGGAGGCCGCAGCTCAGCTGGAGGAGACAGAAGGGAGGCCAGCCCCAACGCTGGGATACGCAGCCATTGTGGCGAATGATGATGATTCTAGGCCCGTTTCCAGTCTGGCGTCTTTCATGGTTGCTGTTTTAAAGGGAACTTGGATTGTAGAAGGGACGCGGGTGGCGCTCTGTGTTAAACCACAGAGCCTAGGACTTGCTGATCAGAAGGTCGGCAGTTCGAATCCCCGCAACGGGGTGAGCTCCCGTTGCTCGGTCCCAGCTCCTGCCCACATAGCAGTTCGAAAGCACGTCAAAGTGCAAGTAGATAAATAGGTACTGCTCTGGCGGGAAGGTAAACGGCGTTTCCGTGCGCTGCTCTGGTTCGCCAGAAGCGGCTTAGTTATGCTGGCTACTTGACTCGGAAGCTGTATGCCGGCTCCCTTGGCCAGTAAAGCGAGATGAGCGCCGCAACCCCAGAGTCGGTCACAACTGAACCTAATGGGCAGGGGTCCCTTTACCTTTACCTGGATTGTAGAGGTGGAGGAAGACCTCTCTGTCCATTCAGACCTTGGGGAACCAGAGCTGATGTCAGGAGTTGGGACCTTCTTAGTCTCCTTCCTCCTGTTAGGCTGCTTTCCTTTGTGGCTGCCTCCCTTGGTTGAAATTTAGAGGGTCATCTCCCTGGGGGGCAGCGGCCCTGTTATAATGGCAGTGGTGATAACAAGGGTCTAGATGTGCCCAGTGATCTGACAATGCAAGGTGGGCACCCCAGGCTGGGGGCAACGGAGGGGGAGCCTCTGCTTCCTCTAATGCCTTCCTTCCTTCCAGAGCCAGGAGGAAACTGAAGGGGACGCAGCAGAGGCACAAGCGACCCAGCTTTTTGGGACCAGAGCCCTGGCGGTGATGAGGCCTCCACCAGTGGTAGAGCAGCTTCATGGCAAGGTGAGTGCCACCGTCTGGTTCACGGGCGATCGAAGTCCCGGCTGGGGACATCGGGATCGGGGGCAAGATGGTGGGGTGGGAGCAGGAACGGGAGTCCAAAAGCCAGGAGTCAGGAAGCCAAGAGTCCGAGGGTCAGAGAGCTGGGAGTCAAGAAGCCAAGGGTCCGAGGGTCAGGAAGCAAGAAGTCGAGGGTCCGAGGATCAAGGAACCAAATGCAGCAAGGCAGGGAACGTGTTGCTGTGGCAAAGAGCTGAAGGGAAATGCTGACCTTATATCCCTTCCCAGCTCTTGCCACCAGGTGCTGTGAGTTACCAATCGGCCTCACCTGTGAGGCCGCACCTTGCCCCTTCAGAACAAACTTAGGAAGGCCCCAGTCCTGGTCACAGGGCCTGGCTCCTGCACGCACACCTGACAGTGAGGCTGTGGGGCATTTGCCTGCAAATAGCTGTAGAGTGTTGTGGAACAGCTCACATCACCCCCTTGCAGTGCTGGAGGGTGTTTGGTCCCATGGGAGAACAGGACCTGGGCCCCTTTCCCTCATCAGCCCTCCCTTCCCAATGTATGCTGTGATGGCAGCACTAAAAAGTGAGCTTGCAGGGTGGAAGACTCCGGCTTCTCTACCCTCCCCCTTGCCAAGAGACCATTCTGCTATTCTGTGTCCGACTCAGGAACACCCGGCGCCTGTGGCTATTCTCCGCCGCTTCCCGTTTTCCTCAGCCCTGCAGCGAATGAGTGTTCTGGTGAAGCCCACCGGCAGGGGGCCTTCGCAGGCGTATATGAAGGGGTCTCCAGAGATGGTGGCCAGCCTCTGTGATAAGGAATCGGGTCAGTCTACACGTCCTTTCTGGTATTGGCTAACTTGGCTCTTCCTTCTCACCAGGTGTAACTACCTATCTGCTCTCTACTAACCCGCATACAGTACTTGGTTTCTCTTCTTCCTGGGTGTCGTGCCACTTCTATTTTTGCTGGAGCCATTGGGGGTCCAGGGAGGGGCGTGTTGGGCCCAGGAACACCCACGAGCATCTCCTGAGTAGCTGAGCAGTGATGGGGTGCTTAGCATCACTTTGATGATGGAGGAAGGTGTAGGAATAACGGAGGATGACAGGAGGTTGAAAAAATGAGGAAACACATTGTACAGTTTGCAGTAAGTTGGGCAAAGATATGACAGCAAATAATGAGTCTAATGTCTCTGGTTGTTCAGGCTCGAGAGGGCTGATGTTGTCTGGCGGCAACAAGGGCTTTGGTGTCACCCCAAGTGACTAGACGTGGTTCTTTCCTGGTCTGCACTTGGCGGCACTATGTCTCCCTCGGGTGGTGCTTTACTGGCATCTCCTGTAGGGTTAGTTGGAAGTCTGGAGTTGGATTGGTCAGGTCCTGATGCCAGGCCATGCTGGACAGCGGATTGGACTGCTGACCGCACACTCGGAACTGGAACTCACAACGGACCTGTGGGGTTAAAATAATAGCCTAGCCCTGCCCCCAGGCGATCAGGGCCACAGAGCCACGTCACTCCAGATCCGGTAGCTGTTGACAAAATAGGTTGTTAAGGTCAAAGTCCTTGGATTGGCAGATGTGCCTGTCTGCTGGTGCAAGTTGATCTGAATTAGAAGCCAGATGGTTAATTGAAAACAACAAAGTGTTTAATTTACACTGAAATTGCCTAGGGTCCTGCAGAAGGAGGCTGGATCCTCCAAGGGGTGGGGAAAGGAACCCTCAGCAGCCATCTTCGGCATGTGGGGCTGTTGGGAGAGGTCTTCCTTTTGCAGCATTGCATTGCTAAACCAACCAACCCCCTCTCTTGGCATTGCAGTCCCTGCGGATTTCACCCAGACTTTGCGCCATTTCACCAGCGACGGGTTCCGGGTCCTTGGGCTGGCTTTCAAGCCCCTCGCTGCCATTGGGACATTCGAAGAGGCCCAGGACATGACAAGGTGCCTGGGAACCTGGCAGCGGCTTCCTCTCCAGCCTGGGCTCCCCTGCTCTGCCCAGAGGTCCACTGATAACGGGGGTTTCTCCTTGGGCCGGCAGGGACGATGTGGAGAGCGGGATGGTCTTCCTGGGGTTCCTGGTGATGAAGAACGTTCTTAAGCCTGAGACTGCTCCAGTGATCCACTTATTGCACAATGCAGACATCCGAACTGTGATGGTCACAGGTATCAGATGGGGAGGAGGGCGGGGGATGCCCATTTCTCTCTGTGTTTCACATTTGTTGCCATCTAGGTGTGGTGACGCGGGTGGCGCTGTGGGTTAAACCACAGAGCCTAGGACTTGCCGATCAGCAGGTCGGCAGTTCGAATCCCCGCGATGGGGTGAGCTCCCGTTGCTTGGTCCCTGCTCCTGCCAACCTAGCAGTTCGAAAGCACATCAAGTGCAAGTAGATAAATAGGTACCACTCTGGCGGGAAGGTAAACGGCGTTTCTGTGCGCTGCTCTGGTTCACCAGAAGCGGTTTACTCATGCTGGCCACATGACCCGGAAGCTGTATGCCGGCTCCCTTGGCCAATAAAGTGAGATGAGCGCCACAACCCCAGAGTTGGTCATGACTGGACCTAATGGTCAGGGGTCCCTTTACCTTTACCTTAAGTGTGGTGAAGTCCAGCACCTCTGTTCCTCTCCCTCTTCTCCCCACCAGGAGACAACATGCTGACTGCTGTGAATGTGGCCAGGAGCTGCCGGATGGTGAATGCCAAGGAACGGGTTCTCTTCGTCCACGCCGCCCCTCCTCGCGGCCGGGATGAGCCGGCTGCCCTCAGATTCGTCCCTTCTGAGCATCACCTGGAGCAGCCCGATGCAAGTCCTTCCCTACCCAAACTTCCTCTGTGGGCACCCTGGCACAGCAAGTGCCCTCGTGGCTTCCAGGGAGGTGGCACGCCCAGGCTGCTTCTAGGATTTGGGAGGGGGAGAGGTGGGGAATGCCACCTTAAAAGCTCCTGGGGCATCTTGCCCAATGTGGTCACCCAGGCCAGCTCTGCCCGTCCATGAAAAGAGCTGAGCTTGACCAGCTATGGGGCACCTGATGCCAGTTTTCCTTAGAGAGACCTCGCTCCACTTTGCTCCCTTCCTGGTTGCTGGCCTGCTGTGCATCTTGCAGTCAGTGGGGTTGCAGTGCCCACCTCCTCCCTCTCTGTGCCAGCTGCAACCTTTCCGTCACATTCCTGCCCGGCCTTGAGACCAGCCCAGGCACTGGGGCAAGGCTTGGGAAGGTAGGGGCATTGGGAAGAGGCCTGAATATCAACTGCTGGGTTTTTGCAGGGTTCGTACCAACGGGAGAGCTACTTCCTGGAGCAGCAGCACCCGTACCACTTGGCCGTCAATGGGCAATCCTTCGCGGTGCTTTGCGATCACTTTCCGGACCTCCTGCCGAAGGTAATGCTGGATGCAGGAGCCGTGCAGGATGAGAGGCAGAGCTTACTGCTGTTGCTGCTTCTGCCCAGCTGTCCATCCCCCCAAACCTCACCCCATCCTCTGGCAAAGGGCTTTCTCTGCTTACAGTTCCTAGATGCGCTGAATAAATGCAAGTCTGTAGGAGAAAGACTGCATAGCTCAGTGGTTAGAGCACCTGCTTTGCATGCAGAAGGTCTCAGGTTCAATCTCCAACTAGCGTCTCCATATAGGGCTGGGATCAGTGGGGTGCAGTGAAATTTTTGTAGGGGAACAGCTTGCGAGGGCAACTGGGGTGTGGGTGATATCCTGCATGCTAGCATCAGGCCTCCCTCACAAACCCAGGCAGAAGCTTCCCAGGGTTTTGGAAGGAGTGGCTAGGCCTCTGACAGGATGCTAGAGCCCTGCTGAATCCTCCCCAAAGTTGGGCAGGCTTTGGGGAGGGGGAAGGAGGGCTTTTGGACCCTGTCAAAGCCTTGCTGCTCCTTCCCTAAGCCGGGCAGAAGCTTCCCAGGCTTCGGGAAGGAGGCACCAGGCTTTAATGCTTTATTTATTTATTTTTTTAAAAAAAATAATATTTATTAGAGTTTCAAAGGAAAAAAGAATCACATTAAAAAAAAAAATTAACAATAACAAGGAAAAATACAAAGTAAAAAAAGAAAGAAAAAGCAGTTAAAAACAATTCCATCTTTTCCTCACTTCTTTTACATTTACTTGTTTCCTGGACCTCCTCATACCTCCCTCTTTTGTATTCCAATTCAATTTGTTAATCCAACAATTCCTTTCCCTCCTTTTTAATCCTAATCCTTAATCTTGATATATTGTAACATTAGATTTTTACGCATTAAAAACCAATTTTTCCATATTCTTTGTACCTATATAGCTAGAAGCCACTTAACTTCAATCCAACATCATTCTAACATTCATTAATTTTACAATATTTCTGTAAATAGTCTTTGAATTTCTTCCAATCTTCTTCCACCGACTCTTCTCCCTGGTCACGGATTCTGCCAGTCATTTCTGCCAATTCCATATAGTCCATTAATTTCATCTGCCATTCCTCCAGTGTGGGTAAATCTTGTGTCTTCCAATACTTTGCGGGCTGGCTTTAATGCTTTAATACTCTCATTTATTGGCAACATTAAGGGGGCTAGCTTAGTCCCCCTAGTCCAATGCCCACACACCACTGGCTGGGAGGGACCCTTGCCTAAAACCCTGGAGGGAGCAACTGCCAGTCAGTGTAGGCAGTATTGAGCCAGATGGACCCAGTGGTCTGATGTGGTATAAGGCAGCTTTCTTTGTTCCTGTGTAAGTCCTCAAAGATCAGAAGCCCTCAGGGACAATCTCCAGGGGAAAAGGGTCCGGTAGCAGGAGGAGGCGAAGACCCCTCCTCTGCCCCAATGCACCCACCAAGAGCCATGACAGCGGGACCCGGTTCAAAAGTCCTGACCCTTCTCTGCACCTCATGGGGGCGTCTCTTCAAAGCTGGCACGATCGCTTGCTATTGTTGATGATTATTCATCAGTAAGGTGATTGATTGGCTTCTTGTGCCACCTCTTAGAGCTGATGAATGTTCGCAGGGACGTTAAAGGGTGCTACATTCACCAGACTCTTATGTGGCATCACGTGCAATGCTGCTGCGGGGAGTAGCATTGCTCCCCAAAATCAGATGCCCCAGAACTTTCCCTTGGCTGGGGAGGAGGAGAGGGGCGTTAAACAAAATTGGCCAGAAATCCACACGTGTCAATTAAAGATGGCCGATTCTTTGCGCCGCAAGCGCCCCCTAGCCCAGGAAACAAGGAAGGTGCCTTATTCCAAGTCTATCCAGCCTCCGGCTCCCATCAGCCTCTGCCAGCCCATCCAGTGGCCAAGAATGATGGAAACTGTAGTCAGCATCTTGTGGAGGGTTTCAAGTTCCCCAATCCTGGTTCAGCATCTCCCCAGTAGGGAGGGGAATTTCCCAGTCTCACCAGCAGGTGTTGCCAAGGAACTTTTGCACACAAAGCCCAAGAGCTGCAGACCGCCATTCCTCAGAGGAGGCCCTGCCATCCCACTAAGTGATCCCCCCTCCTTGTGTGAGCTGCCTTGGATGTATTGTGATTCTCGAGGCAGTGGCAGCTCTGAAACGGATTCTAGAGAGCCAGTGTGGTGTAGTGGTTAAGACCGGTGGACTCGTAATCGGGTGAACCGGGTTCGCTTCCCCGCTCCTCCACATGCAGCTGCTGGGTGACCTTGGGCTAGTCACACTTCTCTGAAGTCTCACAGCCCCACTCACCTCACAGAGTGTTTGTTGTGGGGGAGGAAGGGAAAGGAGATTGTTAGCTGCTTTGAGAATCCTTCGGGAAGTGATAAAGCGGGATACCAAATCCAAATTCTTCTTCTTCTTTCTCTGCCTTCTGCAGATACTGGTCCGGGCCACCATTTTTGCCCGGATGTCGCCCGACCAGAAAACTCTCCTGGTCCAGAACTTGCGAGACCTGAAGTAAGTCTGTGGCATTTTTAGGGGGGACGCTCCACCGCCCACCCCACTGCCGGGATATTGTGGGGGGAGTCGCAAAGGTGTGTGATGGGCGAGGGATTTGTTCCAGAACCGCAGGAAGAGATGGCTTTCTCACTTCTGTGGGCGAAAGCAATGGAAATCCTTACGGACAGAGGGAAGAACCTTGAACTATGGCTGCGGGGCTGCCATTGCTCCAGACACTTTGGCTTTCCTCGTTGATAAAGTTGGAGAGAAGGGGGTGGGTTTGGTGGGGGGTAGCGGGTGTTGGGAAGAATTGACACCAGCGCCTTCCAGCGTGTTGGCCCCTGGTGGAAGCGGGGAAATGAGGCTCCAACTCTCCTCTCCCATGTGTCGGTTCACAGCTACTGCGTGGGGATGTGTGGGGATGGTGCCAACGACTGTGGAGCTCTGAAGGCGGCCGATGTGGGCATCTCGCTCTCCGAAGCAGAAGCCTCCGTGGCGTCGCCATTCACTTCCAAGATAGCCAACATCGAGTGTGTCCCCATCGCCATCCGGTAGGTCTGGGGAGAATCGACCTTTCTGGGACGCTGAGCTTGTAGTAGATGATCCTCTTTCCCACCATCGTCTCAAAAAATGTAGCTCCTCCTCTTTAATTGGAACTAGAAATATTTTGGGGGGGCTCCTCTAAAAGAGCAGGGAACGCGGGTGGCGCTGTGGTCTAAACCACTGAGCCTAGGGCTTGCCGATCAGAAGATCAGCGGTTCGAATCCCTGCAACGGGGTGAGCTCCCATTGCTCGGTCCCAGCTCCTGCCAACCTAGCAGTTCGAAAGCACCTCAAAGTGCAAGTAGATAAATAGGTACCGCTCCGGCGGGAAGGTAAATGGCTTTTCCGTGCACTGCTCTGGTTTTGCCAGAAGCGGCTTAGTCATGTTGGCCACATGACTTGGAAAAACTGTCTGCGGACAAACGTCGATTCCCTTGGCCAATAAAGCCAGATGAGCGCCGCAACCCCAGAGTGGTTCGCGACTGCACTTAACTGTCAGGGGTCCTTTACCTTTATCTTAAAGAGCAAGAGAGGTGCTTTTGGAAAATCAGTTATTTCCCTTAAAAAAAAAAAGTTGTGAACTTAGTGGCATGGACTTCACACATGCTAGCCACTATGGTAAATTTTGATGAAAATACCTTGTAAGAACAGCAGTTGGCAGAAAGGGAAAAGTTTGTCCCTTACAGAAGCAAACCCTTCTGAGTCTTCCTGCCCACGTGCATCACTACCTCCTTAAAACACAAAAGAAACCTCAGGGTGGGTGTCCCAAGTTTTGGGCCCCTGATTTGTGTGGGATCTCATTAGAATTGATGTGCATGCAGTATTGGGGGGGCGCCCTTTATATCTAAGTAAGGTGGCGCTGTGGGTTAAACCACAGAGCCTAGGGCTTGTCAATCAGAAGGTTGGCAGTTCGAATCCCCGTGACGGGGTGAGCTCCCGTTGCTCGGTCCCTGCTCCTGCCAACCTAGCAGTTCGAAAGCACATCAAAGTGCAAGTAGATAAATAGGTACCGCTCCGGCGGGAAGGTAACCGGCGTTTCAGTACGCTGCTCTGGTTCACCAGAAGCGGCTTAATCATGCTGGCCACATGACCTGGAAGCTCCCTCGGCCAATAAAGCGAGATGAGCGCCGCAACACCAGAGTCGGCCACGACTGGACCTAATGGTCAGGGGTCCGGTCCCTTTACCTTTAAGGAAATGCAGGCAGGGGAAGAAGCTGAAGCCACAACAGGGCACGTTAAAATGTTCTTTTCTTTTAGGGGGAAAAAAACACCAAACTGTTTCCGATGCCTAGTTGTGCTTACTTTGGAGTGATCCCAGTGTAGATTGTGGATGAGCAACGTTTCTTAAGTTTCACTGGGTCTTCCCCACCCTGACACATTCCCCGATGTTAATTTTTCCTGGCAATCTTGGTCCTTTAGGGAAGGGAGATGTTCTCTGGTCACCTCCTTTGCGGTCTTCAAATACATGGCACTCTACAGCCTCGTGCAGTTTGTCTCTGTGCTCCTGCTCTACACGGTAAGGATTGCATGAAAAAGAAAAGCTTTTGCCTTGAGTTTCCTTCCTGCTCTCGTGTTTCCATGCTTCTGTCAGGACCTTGAGGGCCAAGACATAGATGCTGGTGGTTCTATTGAAGTTCCACTATTGTGCATTTGCAAGTTTGAGTGAGCTCCAGAGCACTTTCTGGTTGTATTTTGCAGCCACCAGTGAGAGATGTTTGCACACTTATAGACCCATATGCCAAAGACAGCACGGTGGACTTCAAGACAGATGGGATCCTGTATTTGATAGGTCCCTCTGGATTCAGAATACTAAATACTTGCTCATATGATCACAGTTGATTATTTCCTCAAGTTCTTCTCCCTTTTGTGGTGGGGAAGCCCGTCCTCCTCTCCAACTGCTTCTAATCTTTTGCATAAACCTGTGCATGCTATTAGGCCACTACAGCATCCTGTGGCAATGAGTCCCACAGGTTAGGATGTGCATAGCAATTGCAGCGCAAAAGCTCTGACTCATACAGCCCGTTTTCCTCTCTCCAGGAGAGGCTCGTACTGTGCCGCTGTAATCTCAAATGGGAGGGGTGTGTAGGTGGCAGAATTAAAGGTAGACTGCTCCTGAACCGTGGAGGCTCTGTTTCTTGAAAGTGGGCACATCGATCGTCATTCCACCCCAACCCAGATCAACACCAATCTGAGCGATCTGCAGTTTTTGTTCTTTGACCTGATCATCACCACCACGGTGGCTGCTCTGATGGGCAGGACGGCGCCGGCAAAGGATCTGGGCCCCAGGCGCCCGCAAGGAGCCCTCATCAACATCATTGTCCTGAGCAGCCTCGCCCTCCAGACCAGCCTCTTCATCGCCATCCAGGTCACCAGCTACTACATCACTGTCTCTCAGCTGTGGTAAGCAGTGGGCGCAGGGGGTGAAACCAGCATGATGGGAAGTTGAGGAGGAGGAGGAGGAGGTGTCGGCCATGGCAAGCTCTCAGGCTGGCATTTTCCAGTTTGATTTGGCTGCCCTGCCAGTTCCAACCTGCTGGACAAAGAGGACCCCTTTTCTCCGGCCATCAGGGCCCAGGGATGGGTGGTTGAGACTCGGTGTGTCACCAATCTCTGCCCCTCCTAGATCATACCTACGGGACCGCCTCTCCCGGTATGCCCCACGGAGAGCCTCAAGGTCCATAAATAGCAACACCCTAGAGGTCCTGGGCCCTAAGGAAGTTAGATTGGCTTCAACCAGAGCCAGGGCCTTTTCAACTCTGGCTCCGGCCTGGTGGAACGCTCTGCCTCATGAGACTAGGGCCCTGCAGGATTTGATTTCTTTCCGCAGGGCCTGTAAGACAGAGTTGTTCCGCCTGGCCTTTGGCTTGGAGCCAATTTGATTCCCTCCCCCTCTTTTTTCTTTCTTTTTCCTTTCTCCTCCTGTGACGAGGCTGTATTTTAATATTTTAATGTTTCAATATTTTAATTGTTGTATTTTAATCTTGTTTTTAAGTTGTATTCATTCAACTTGTTTTTATTATTCCTTGTTTTATTATTGCCTTGGCTGGGGAGGGCGGGGTATAAATAAAAATTATTATTATTATTATTATTATTATTATTATTATTATATCTCTGCCCCAGGTACGTCCCCTTGAACAGTACGGTGGCAGCCCCTCAGAACCTCCCGAATTACGAAAACACCGTCGTCTTCTGCATTTCCGGGTTCCAGTACCTCATCCTGGCAGTAGCCATGTCCAAAGGGCAGCCCTTCCGCAAGCCTCTCTACACGAACGGTGAGTCTGCCTGCTCCCCAAGAGCTTCCTTGACACCGTCCTCCATCTTCACTGCCAAACCTTAGGGAGAAGTGAATCTCAGTCCGTCCCCCACTCTCTTTCTCTTCCTGTTTGGGCTTCTCCCTCTTCCCCAAGTAGCCATTGACTCTTGTGAGCTTCCCACTGATCTTCGCTTCCATTTGCAGAAGCTGCCCAGCTCATGCCCATTCTGATGCTGGTACTTTTATTTATTTTTATTATTTGTGAGTCGAGGACCCGCCACCCACATAGGAGTATAATAAGACACAAAGACACATTATTTTAGGTTAATGGGCAAAATTCGGCCACAACTTTTATTGGTTACAGCATGTGAGTAGTATTGGCTTAGGCATTGGATGAAACAGCAATACCAGACTCCACCCTGCACAGCCAGGAGTCATATTAGGGTTAACAACGAATGGGAGGAGCTTGTTGATGCAAATACAACTGGAAGCTCCCCCATGACGTCACCGGGGGTTGTGCCATGGCCCTAGCCACCAGCAGGGCATTGGACAGGATCCACGACCGCTGGATTCCTTTAATGGAATACGCAAAAGAGGAGGGGTAGATGATGGCGCATACCCAATCCTCCAGCACAGCACACATATTCCAATGCCTAAATGCCAATACAGTGGTGCCTCACAAGACGAAAATAATCCGTTCCGCGAGTCTCTTCGTCTTGCGGGTTTTTTCGTCTTGCGAAGCAAGCCCATTAGCGGTTTAGCGGATTAGTGCTACAGTATTAGCGGCTTAGCAGGCTTAGTGGATCAGCTGATAAGCGGCTTAAGGATAAGCTGATAAGCGGCTTAAGGATAAGCTGATAAGCGGCTTAACGATAAGCTGATAAGCGGCTTAACGATCAGCTGATAAGCGGCTTAGCATCAGCTGTTAAGCGGCTTAGCCATCAGCTGATAAGCGGTTTAGCGGCTTGGGGAAAAGGGGGGGGGAAAGGAAAAACCCCCGCAGGAACTCGCAAGACATTTTCGTCTTGCGAAGCAAGCACATAGGAAATTCGTTTTGCGAAGCACCTCCAAAACGGAAAACCCTTTCGTTTAGCGGGTTTTCCGTCTTGCGAGGCATTCGTCTTGCGGGGCACCACTGTATCAGAAAGTTGTGACGAATTGCTACGAGGTAGGCGAAAAAACCAAGAGGCTGGTGCCAATTTGCCAAATGGATAAAAAAAGTCCTACCAGGCCCTTGGGCAACTAAGGCAACCAACCGAAGTCCATAGCAAGGTCAATATGCAAAAGACGCTGACCTAAGAGGGAGGGAGGGCAGGAGATCTGAAGAAAACAGGAACAGACTGGGAGCGCTGCCGCAGCCGTTTAAATGCAGCTAGCCCCGCCCACCAGCTGGCCCTATTGGTCGGCTGAGAGGCTTGGCCGCGGCGGCAGAAGCAATCAGGAGCAGGGAGCCGAAAACGCCTCCCTGCCCCAGCGGGAGGCTGCTCCCGCTCACAACCCCTCCCCTCTGGGAGGAGGAGAGGCCTTCCTTCACAAAATCTGTTACCTAGCCTTCACTCTAAGGTCGCAGTTAGAACAAGACAAAATGCGCAGCGGTCAGAAGGTCGGCGGTTTGAATCCCTGTGACGGGGTGAGTTCCCGTTGCTCAGTCCCTGCTCCTGCCAACCTAGCAGTTCGAAAGCACGTCAAAGTGCAAGTAGATAAATAGGTACCACTCCGGCGGGAAGGTAAACGGCGTTTCCGTGCGCTGCTCTGGTTCGCCAGAAGTGGCTTAGTCATGCTGGCTACATGACCCGGAAGCTGTACGCCGGCTCCCTCGGCCAATAAAGGGAGATGAGCGCCGCAACCCCAGAGTTGGCCACGACCTAATGGTCAGGGGTCCCTTTACCCTTTATAAAACCAAAGTAACCAATTTTTAAAAAACCACACAGGTAAAACCCATTCCAAGCAGAAGAGAGCACCAAACATGAGCCATTTCCCTGCCAGAGGCCATGGGTGAAGCGGGGGCATCTTTTTGGCCCTGATAGTCTGAGCTAGAGGGGCTGGAATACACCTATAGGCTGTCTGTGGCTTGTGGAAGGGGGAGACCCACAAGGGGCTTATGCTCTTGAAAGTGCCCCTTTTTACATCGTAAGCCTTAGAACGGAGCGTCGTGACACGTTAGTGTGTAGGTATGTCACACGAACGCTCCCCAGGGTTGGGAAGGTGGTAGCTTAACCTCCAGTTGGCTAGCAAAAGGGAATTACTGTCTTGCAAAATGTCTGAAAAGCGGGTCAGTTTGGAACACTCTGCCTTAAGAATCATAGAATTGGGAGGCACCACGAGAGACATCTAGTCCAACCCTCTGCAATGCAGGAATCTTTTCCCTAACATGGGACTCGAACCCTGAGCCTGAGATGTAAGAGTCTTGTGCTTTTACCAACTGAGCCATCCAGTTAGACTTGTGGCGTATGTGTCTGCCTGCCTGCCTCCCAGCATGTTGTAAGTGCTCATCCTTTTCCTTGCCTCTCAATACTTTCTCCTTGTTCCCCTCCGCCCCACAGTGGTGTTCTTGATAGCCTTAATCATCCTTTTCGGCCTCATGATCTGGTTAACCCTTTACCCGCTGGGCTTCATGAGATACCTCTTGAAACTGAAGGCCATCGACGACCTGAACTTCAAGCTCGCTCTCCTGGGGATGGCTGCTCTCCACTTCTTCACAGCCTTCATGCTGGAGGTATTGGGTGGGCAGGGGGAAAGAGTTACAAGTCATGGCCAAGAGGGAGGCCGGGGACATGGTGTCTGAGAAAAGGATGGAGGGGGGAGGAACAGGGAGAAGGGAGCTTGCTCCTCTTCCCTTTCCTCCTCCTGTTCCCCTTCCCTAAACACTTGAGTAACAACAACTACAAATTATTATTTATACCCCACCCATCTGGTTGGGTTTCCCCAGCCACTCTGAGTGGCTTCCAACAAACATTTAAAATCTATTAAAACATCAGTCATTAAAAGCTTCCCTAAACAGGGCTGCCTTCAGATGTCTTCTAAACATCAGATAGTTGTTTATTTCCTTGACATCTGGTGGGAGGGCGTTCCACAGGGCGGGTGCCACTACCGAGAAGGCCCTCTGCCTGGTTCCCTGTAACTTGGCTTCTCGCAGGGAGGGAACTGCCAGAGTGAGTTTAACCGCTGGCAGTCAGGGAACAGTAAGTCAGAGGAGCCATGTCTTTCTGGAAGCAATGGCCACAGGATGCTGTTGTTGTTAATTTATTCAATTGATATACCGCCCTTTATCAGGGTTAACATTTAAAAAACACATTACTATCACATTACAGGGATAGAAACGTTAAAAAAGACCATAATGACAGACAGCCTAATAGTAAAATAATCACCATAATAACTGTCTTCTCCCGCACACTTTCACAGGCCATAGATTATTTAATAGCCATAGGCCTGGGTGAAGAGGAATGTTTTTGCCTGGCACCTGAAGACGTGTAGTGATGGCGCCAGGCGGGCCTCTCTGGGGAGAGAATTCCAGTCAGGGAGCCACCACAGAAAAGGCCCGTTCTCTTGTTGCCACCCTCCGAACCTCTCTGGGATGGGAGAGAAGCGCCTCAGACAACAATAACAACAACAATTTATTATTTATACCCCGCCCATCTGGCTGGGTTTACCTAGCCACTCTGGGTGGCTTCCAACAAAACACTAAAATACATCTATTAAACATTAAACCTATTAAACATAACCTATTAAACATTAAAAGCTTCCCTAAACAGGGCTGCCTTCAGATGTCTTCTAAAAGTTTGGTAGTTATTTTTCTCTTTGACATCTGGTGGGAGGGCGTTCCACAGGGCGGGTGCCACTACCGAGAAGGCCCTCTGCCTGGTTCCCTGTAACGTGGCTTCTCGTAGAGAGGGAACCGCCAGAAGGCCCTCGGCGCTGGACCTCAGTGTCCGGGCAGAACGATGGAGGTGGAGACGCTCCTTCAGGTATACTGGACCGAGGCCTTTTAGGGCTTTAAAGGTCAGCACCAACACTTTGAATTGTGCTCGGAAACGTACTGGGAGCCAGTGTAGGTCTTTCAAGACCGGTGTTATATGGTCTCGGCGGCCGCTCCCAGTCACCAGTCTAGCTGCCGCATTCTGGATTAGTTGTACTTTCTGGGTCACCTTCAAAGGTAGCCCAACATAGAGCGCATTGCAGTAGTCCAAGTGAGAGATAACTAGAGCATGCACCACTCTGGCGAGACAGTCTGCAGGCAGGTAGGGTCTCAGCCTGCGTACAAGATAGAGCTGATAAACAGCTGCCCTGGACACAGAATTGACCTGTGCCTCCATGGACAGCTGTGAGTCCAGAATGACTCCCAGGCTGCGCACCTGGTCCTTCAGATGACAAGCGACGGCTCCTGATGAAAGTTGGTGTTCTAAAAAGGGTTAGGCAAATCTGAGGGTGTGGGGGTGTGAGAGGAAGGGCCCACCTACAGCTAATAACCATGGCCCTTGAGTGAAACCTGCATGTTAAGGCGCAGTCTACCCCTGTGTGCCAGGTTGGGAGCAGGCCACAGAGAGGGAGCTGGTGCCTTCCAGCCTCGCCAGAGAAGCCTCTGTTGTGGGAGCTGCTGTTGGGTGCAGTGGGCATGGCAGGGCGGCCAGCCTCTCAGGATCTCTCTCTCTCTCTCTCTCTCTCTCTCTCTCTCTCTCTCTCTCTTTCTCTCTCTTCCGCCCTCTCCAGACCTGCCTGGACTACGGGCTTCTCAACGGCCTCCGGAACCTGTGTGGGAAAAAGTCGTCGAAGAAGCTCTTCAAAAGGCTGGAGAAGGAGCTGAGCCAGCAGCAGCCCTTGTGGCCTCCGCTCCACGAACCCATCTTTGCCACCGCCACTGCCACCCAAATCACCCCTGTCCTGAGGTGACGCTGGGCGCAGACACACATGCCTGTGTGGACATGAAAGACGGAGGTGCCTCTTCTGCGCCTTCCCTTGGTACGGGACCATTTTATTTATTTCCACTGGTCGCTACACTGTCCTTCATTCCGCTGCTGCCCGCTTGGCAAAAGACCCCGGAAACGACACTCCTCCATTTAAAGTCCTTGTGTTACCTGCTGCCCCACTTGCCAAGGTGGAGGCAGGAGGCGGTCAGGTGCCACTTCATAGCAAGAGAAGACCCCCCCCCAATGCCAGCCGTCAGCTCTAAAATCTGAGACCTGTCTGGGAGTGGGAAGAGTTGTACCTCACCTGAGTTGAAAGCTTGCAGACAGGCTAGATTTGGCTTGGTCCGTCTCCTGGCGCGAGATGGGGGCAGGCTATGTCCACATAGCCATGAGGGGACCGACGTGTTTCCTGCCAGCCATTCTGGGCTTTGTTTTTGAGCCTGGTCGGCAACTGGATTCCAGCTGAGGTTCCTTGCAGCTCTGGAAGAATTCCAGAGGAGGTGGCCTTGGCTGGTACAATTTTTGTGGGGGCGCAAACCAGGCAACCCTACGCAGGTGACGCCAGCCCAGCCCTCCTGCATCAGCCAGGTGGGCAGACAGCTCAGCGTGGCTCTGCTTTGCCCCAGTAGAGGTGGGGTCACTCCAGCGGCGTTGGTGGTGAGGGCTGGGTCGCCCCTTCGCCTGGCACGCATGTGCCCCCTCCCCATCCAGTGCACAAACACAGACCGCCCCGGGTGCCAGAAACCAAACGCTATGCCACTGGTCCATCTTGAAGCACTGAGACCCCCACTAGTGCCGTGGAGCATCTTCCTGTGGGGTGGGTGGGGGGTGTTAGGAATCAGGCAACTCTTTCCCTTTGATTGGCCCAGATGTGCTGGTCCCATTTCCTCTGTTGAAAAGAGAGCAATGGTGCCGCCTGTACTTGCCCAAGTGACCGTATTTCCTGTGGACAGACTTGCAAGGAGAATGGAGCCCCCTGTGATTTGGACGCTGTCGTGTGTTCCTCCTCCATGCCAGAATTACTGGAAATTGTAGCAAATCTGCACCAGCCTCAAAATGAGAAAGCTCATCAGGGGTGTTTTTGTGTGTGTGTGTGTGTGTGTGTGTGTGTGTGGTTTGCAATAGGGCTATCTCCCCCATCCTTACCCCAAGATCACCCACTCTGCAAGAAAAATGTAAAAGGTTACGTGAAAGGATGGATGCGCTGAGAGTGAGAGAACCCAGTTCTGTATGGTTATGAACGAGTCTCACAATAAACAGATGATATTTTCTGGGCAATTCTGTTCTTCCTTTTAACAGATACATATCCTGCTTTGTCATTAGTTCACAGACTTTCAGAGGGAAGCTAATAACTTAGAGCCACCCGTGGGAAAAACATAAGACGTGCAGCTGCACCCACAATGCTTGAAAGCAGTGGCACAGTGGGGAAGAAAGCTAAATTTGGCTATAAAATGGCGAAAAAACCCCCCAGCTCCGGAGTCAAAGAACTGAGGAAGGAAAAAGTTGTTCTGTTGGGCTCAGCCAGTTCTCTGCTTTCCTGGGAATCACGTGGGATTAGTACAAAGCAAGGGGAAACAGTTTGCTTCAGGGAAGCACCTGAGAGGGGCGGCAGCTGGAGGCTGATTAGAAGCTGCCATCACACCCACCTGCCCTTGGGCTCTCATCCTGGCTCTCTTGAGCCTTACCGGAGGGTCTCCCATTTTGAAAATCAGAGTTTTATGATTTCCGCTTCCTCCAAGGAACAAGAGGATAGGAGAAGGGGGTGATGTCAGGGCAGGGTGAAGTTGTAACAGCACGGTATTCAAAACGGAGCCCTGGAAAGAAGGGTGCATGGCAGAATTGCTTGCCGTGTGGAAGTGGCCGAGGGACAGAGGCACTGGGGGATTGGGGGTTTGGCTCAGGTTCTGTGGTGCCGTCTCAGGAAGCTGTGAATCAAGGACAGGCATGTACCAGAAAGGGTTATATAATAATAATAATAATAATAGTAATAATTTATTATTTATACCCCGCCCATCTGGCTGGGTTTCCCCAGCCACTCTGGGCGGCTTCCAACAGAACACTAAAATACAATAACCTATTAAACATTAAAAGCTTCCCTAAACAGGGCTGCCTTCAGATGTCTTCTAAAAGTTTGGTAGTTATTTTTCTCTTTGACATCTGGTGGGAGGGCGCTCCACAGGGCGGGTGCCACTACCGAGAAGGCCCTCTGCTTGGTTCTCTGTAACTTGACTTCTCGTAGCGAGGGAACCGCCAGAAGGCCCTCGGTGCTGGACCTCAGTGTCCGGGCAGAACGGTGAGCAGCGGTGAACTGAGGCAAGGATAGCCCTCCACTCCACCCTGTGCCCCCACAACCAAGAGCGGCCCAAGACATTTTGCCGCCAGAGGCAAAGGACAAGATGTTACAGGGGTGGCCAACTCCCAAGAGACTGCGATCTACTTTCAGAATTAAAATCTGGCAGTGATCTACCCCCATTTTTTAGGGGTTCAGCAACTCTAATTTGTTGAGCTTTTTTAGGGAGGAGGAAAGCCCTGTTTTTTTGGGGGGGGGTTAAGGGGCAGGGTTTTTGGGGAGGGGAATTCCGTTTTTGAGGGGGAAGGAAGGCAAGGGAAGTTGGGGTTAAGTCATTCACAAAAACATAGCTATGGATGAAAACAGCCACACAGAGGGAGGTCCATCTTCCCTTCCTGAGTTCAAACAATGGAGGGTGGGACGAGGGGGTGGGACAGGCGTCCGATTTACCAACGCAGAGGAAAGGGAGCCAGAGATTGACCGTGGTCTACCAAAATCGTGGGGATCTACCAGTAGATTGCGATCGACCTGCTGGACATCCCTGGGATGTTGCATTCCCCTTTCTGCACAAAATCGTGACTAAATGGGGTCCTACATTACACCCTGGGGGCAGCAAGGGAGCTTAGGGGCTGCAGGGCAGGCCAGGTGACACACATTTTGAGTCACTTTCCACCCCTCCGAATTTGCTGCCTCGTGGGAGGGCTGGTCGTGCCCAAAACAAGTATGGGGTAAAAAAAAGGAGAAAGTGTGTGAATGCAACAGGGGCCACCCTCCTCCGTATTTCCCTGGCTTGCCTCATTTAAGTACCAGCCACCCGCTCCTGTCCACTTAAAAAGAATGGGAAGCACCCTAAATGCAACAGACAGAATTGTAAAAGAAAACAGAGTCCCAGAAAAAAAGTTCAAAACACCCAGAAGTGATTTCACATGTTTTTTCATAATTTCACGTCCTCCTAAACCTGTGGGTCACAATTTCACGTTCGAAGTGTTTTCCAGAATGCTTTCTCCTGACTTGAGGGTCACAATTTCCACGTTACGTATGTCAGCGGCTAATTACCCCTAAATGGAATCTCTTATGGAGGTAAAGGAAGGCAACTTGATTCTTAAGGCCGGGATCTTCAGCTCTTGAGCATAAAATCCCTTAAAAGCGGTGGAATTGACTCTGAAATATATGTGAGAACGGGCTGCAAGTCTCTCAAGGCCAGGTTCTGTTCTGACGACCACAACCTATTAGTATAAAAGAAAAGACAACTTCTGCACTTCAGCCTGGTTTAATCACTGTCAAGAATTATTGAAGTGCATCTCCTTATCTCTCATCTTTATCTTAACAGATAGCCAAAGTGTAGAATTTTCATCCATTCAACTGTGTGTGTGTGTGCTAGGTCTTTCAAATTCGCCTGCTCTTGTTCTCTGGTAGTACTCATGCCCCCACAATCAACAGAAAACACTGCTCAGGTGTGGTTATAAAAGGCAGGCCCCCTTATAAATGGAACTGCAATTCTTTAACTGCCTTGTTTTTTTGGAGACTACACAACTGAAGATTCCTCCCTAATTCACATCTTTGCATGCTTAACTGTTGCATAAGCCCGCTGAAGTCAATGAGGCAAACTCCATAAATGTGATTAGGATCGTACTCTCAGCTATAGTCACACAGTGCTTTGTGTAAAACCAGATACCATAGTGCAGGCATGGGCAGACGTCAGATTTGATTTGATTTTTTTAAAACTAGGGCTCCAAGATCCAACCAAAACCAGGTGCAAAAGTCATACAGTTAGAACAATGCAACTGAGCACATTTTGAAATAAAGAATTCGTTTTTAGTACAAGAACTGAACTGAACAGTTCACTATTAGTTTTCTTAATTTCAGAAGCCTTATTTTGGTGCAAAAATCATTGTCCCTATTATTGGAAGACAGAGACCTTGCCCATCTGCAAAACAGCCAGAGCTCTACCAGCAGATCTTAATCTTCCTTCTGCCCATCTTTGCCATAGTGCATAGCACTCCAGTACTATTCAAAAAGAGTTGTGCAACAGAGAATGCTTAATTCACAATGCCATATAGCAGCCCTTGCCAATGTAGGGCCCTCCAGATGTTCTGCACTATAACTTCCATCAGCCCCAGCCAGCCAGAAGCTGCGTCTCCTGAAAACCTTATTTCAGCAAGCCTATCCAGGCATAGTATAGTTCATATTTGTTATTAAAAGTTTTATCAACCTTATTGCATTTAAGAGTTCTGGAATTAAAGTTGCAGCCTAAAACATCTGGCAGACCTCAGGCTGGTAAGGTAAAAGGTAAAGGGACCCCTGACCATTAGGTCCAGTCGTGACCGACTCTGGGGTTGCGGCACTCATCTTGCTTTATTGGCCAAGGGAGCCGGAGTACAGCTTCTGGGTCATGTGGCTAGCATGACTAAGCCGCTTCTGGCAAACCAGAGCATCGCACGGAAACGCCATTTACCTTCCCGCCGGAGCGGTACCTATTTATCTACTTGCACTCTGATGTGCTTTTGAACTGCTAGGTTGGCAGGAGCAGGGACTGAGCAACGGGAGCTCACCCCGTCACGGGGATTCGAACTGCCAACCTTCTGATCGGCAAGTCCTCGGCTCTGTGGTTTAACCCACAGCGCCACCCGCATCCCCAGTATAGTTCATATTTGTTATTAAAAGTTTTATCAACCTTATTGCATTTAAGAGTGGAATTAAAGTTGCAGCCTAAAACACCTGGCCGACCTCAGGCTGGCAAAGGCAGAGCTTCTCCTGCTACATACTGTTTGATCAGCATATTCTCATCTAGGCAGTGCTTTAATGGCACAGATGACCCCTGTAGGTTACTCTCCCTCTGGCACCTCTGCGTACTTGATTTCTTAAATTTGATCCATTCAATTCTAATACATTTCTTTCGTAGTGCTTTGTATGATCGCGTTTTTCAGTGGGAAGACTAGGACAGTAGATAGAGGAGCAGAGAATGAGGTGTGAGATGGAGAAAAGGGCAAGCGCTTTCAGACTCCACTCTTCTGCCGCTTAATACTGCACGTATGTCTAAGTGCTGGATATTAGCAATATCACGCATGTACAAATTTGTCTTTCGCAAATCGGGTGCAATGCTTAGCACCATTTCTTTATTGGCAAGTCAAGTGAGTTTGTAAAGTGCTATCAAAAAGGGGTGATAACAGATCTGTTATCTGTTCAAATTTTCTTTAGATACCTTTTTTTTAAAAATAGTGGATATATGCCAGGCCATGAAATCAACTCTGTACAAGTGAACACTACCAAACCAGGGCTCTTACATACATGTACATGTATGTACACAGGGGGTCCAACTTTTGAACAGCAAACCTTCCTTATCCCCCACATATCCCAAGTTTTCCCTGCTGTATCATCAAGTTGTCTTTTCCAAAAAGGCTCCAGCACCAGCAGAATTATGTGTGGTATCCTTTCAGTGCCCCAATCAAAATGTCTCACAGGAGTGTTGTATTCCCCCCCGCTATTTTTGAATCGGGGGCAGGGAGGGTAAATAGGCAAGCCTGTGTTATGAAGAAAGAACATCTTAGGTCCCACAGTTATGGGGTAAAAGGGAAATATGTTGGGTTTCAGGTTTGGAATACAAACTGACACAAAAATGGGGTAAAGCAATATGCAGTCAAAAGCAGAGGTAGCTAACCTGTGGCTCTGCAGCACTGAGTCAACTACAGCTCCCATCGTTCCTGGCCATGGGATGTCCTGGCTGGAGCTGATGGGAGTTGGAGTCTAACAACACCTGGAGACCACTGGTTAGCCACTCCCTGATCTGAAATACAGCCTGGGGTAGATTCAGTCAAATACAGCCCTCACTCCCAAACTGAATTTGGGCATCACCATGCCTTCAAGGCAAACTGAACTGCTTTGTTGGAAGGGACCCCTCAGCCAGAATGTCCTAGGCAAACAAACAACAGGTTTTTCTTGTCCAATGAGCGCTGGCTGAGAAGTCCATTGCAGAACAGTTTCCCTTAAACACAGTGATGTCAATTTGCAAAGATGTCCTTGGCTGAATCCACCTCAGAGCGCTGCCTTGCTCCCCTTCCCATAATAAAGCCAGTGAAACTGAAAAATATATATATCTCGGGAATAATAAATATTGAAATATTCTGCCCCCCCCCCAAGATTTAACTTAAAACTTATTTAAATAAATGAAATGCTTAAAAGAAAGTGCCAGTAGTCGTGTGTTTGATAATGCCAAGCAGGTTCCGACCCCGACACTGGCATTCATGTTCGGGTTTTGACGGGGATGGTCTGCTTGCAAACCGTGGTGCTGCCATGTGCTTCGGGCAACCCAACGGAATACTCAGTTGTGGCTATGAGCAGCATGTCCAAAGTGGTCTCGGTGCATTTGGCAATGAAACGGATGAAGGGCCTGACGTCGCCTTCGTTGGCCACTTCCAAGACGTGGTAGTACTCTGCCCGCTGCTCCTTGCGGATGGTGATGGGTGGGTAGCCCGCCTGCATGAGAATGAGGTTCATCAAGAGGCGTGAAGTCCTGCCGTTGCCATCCACGAAGGGGTGGATGTAGACCAGTTTGTAATGGGCCAAGGCGGCAAATTCAACCGGGTGCAAGCTCATGGCGTCTTCGGAGTTGATCCACTGTACAAACTCAAGCACTTGCTTTTCGACGTCGCAAGGGTGCGGGGGGATGTGGTGCCCTACAAAGACCTGGGTAGTCCGAAACCTGCCAGCCTCTACTGGGTCCACGTAGCCAAGCACTCTCCTGTGAATCTCCAAGATGTCCGTGAGGGTCACGGACCCAATTCTGGACACCAGTGTGGTGTTGACGTACTTCATGGCGGCATGCATGCCGATGACCTCGTTCTGCTCCACCAGACTCTTGCCGGGAACGGCGTACCGCGTCTCGATTATGTGCCGTATTTCAGAAAGCGTCAAGGTGTTCCCTTCGATGGCCACCGTGTGGTAGATGTGGTGGTAGTAAGACTCTTCCATCACCCTGCGGAGAGCAGAGCTGCCTTTTGGGATGGACATGACCTTTTGGACTTTGCTGTCGATGATGCTGAAGTACCTCTGGTCAATCTCTTCAACGAGGGGCAATGTCCGGTCGCGATTGATCAGAGCCTTCTCGTTACGGGGGGAGATGGTCAGGGCTTTGGAATACAGGTAGTCAGCCTGAATTATGTCCTTCTCTTCTTCAGAGAAGAGGCCAAACTCGGTCAAGGCATCAACGTAATCAGGGTCCATCTTGAGGGCGTGCAAGAAAAGCTTGTGGGCTTTCTCCCTTTTACCTTGCCTCTTCATCTCCAGCGCCTGGTTCAGGGCTGCTCTGGCTTCTAACCTGACCTCTGAAAAAAAGCAACCAGGATTAACATTGCAGAAAGGTGTGCTATGGAGCAGAGTGGGGAACCCATGGCTCTTGCAGCTGCTGTTTTCCTCCAGCTCCTATTGGTGCCAGCCAGAATGGCCAACAGTTAAGGAAGATGAGAGCTGTGATAAAGGAATTCCAGCCTGCTATATTACCCTCCTGTCTACCTGGTTATTCAAAGACTCAGCTCTTTTTGCATGGATGCTGGAACTGCTGTTCTTTATGTGATGTCTGATTCCTGGATTAATGCAAGAGCCCTCTTGTCTTAGCAGCTGATGTACTCTTTTCAACTCACTCCAACTTCCTTAAACTCTGTGGGGCGAAGTTGTATTTTGAAGTTGCGCTATACTATTAACACATGAGCTATTGCTTTTCAAATATCAAATGCAGGGATAGAAATATACCACAGAATATTACAAATAAACCATCTTGCTTGTGGGATTTGCACTGGCTGTCAATTTGCTTATAGGCCAAGTTCAAGGTGCTGTTTTAAGTCCCTATATAGCACGGGACCAGGTTACTTATCCCTTACACAATCAGTAGATCACTGTGAGAGTGTTTCTTCTGCAAGTTCCTAAGAACGCCGAAGCCCACTTCACAGGACCTTTAGCGCAGTGGCCCCTGATCTGTAGAACAGCATTCCTGTTGAGATATAACAGGCACCTGCTCCAGAAAGAGTTGAAAGGCATTTTTGTTCCAGCTGGATAAAGGGGTCTTTACCATGAATGTCCATTTGTTACCTTCAGTCTTATTTTAAATGCATTGTTTTTAAACTGTTCTTAATTATTTTATATATAAATCACCTTGATACACAGTGGAACCTCTGTTTTCGAACGTAATCTGTTCCAGAAGACCGACTACCGAAACGTTCGAAAACCAAAAACTCAACATAGAAGCCTCAATACAATAGGGCAACTCAAAATGGAAGCAACACCGCACGTTCAGCTTCCGAAAAACGTTCGAAAACCGGAGCAGTTACTTCCGGGTTTTCGGCGTTTGAAAGCCGAAATGCTCAACTATGGAGGCATTCAACAACTGAGGTTCCACTGTAGCAGTTTAGGAGGTGATTAATAAAATAATTGTCGTAATAATAATAAGTAGTAAGGTTTTTTTTAAAAAGGCAAAGGACCCCTGGATGGTTAGGTCCAGTCAAAGGTGCCTATGGGGTTGTGCTGCTCATTTTGCTTTCAGGCCAAGGGAGTCGGCGTTTGTCCAGACAGCTTCCTGGGTCATGTGGCCAGCAGGACTAAACTGCTTCTAGCGCAATGGGACACCGTGATGGAAACCAAAGCGCACAGAAACACCGTTTACCTTCCTGCCGCAGCGGTACCTATTTATCTACTTGCGCTGGTATGCTTTCGAACTGCTAGGTTGGCAGGAGCCGGGATAGAGCAACAGGAGCTCACCCTGTTGTGTGGACTTGAACTGCTATCAACACAGAAATTTATTGGAGCCCAGAAACTCCCCTTCCCCCTCCCATACCTTGGGAGGCTTTCGGCTTCAACACCAGCAGCTGCAATCCACCCGAGGTGACGCTGAGGTCCGTCGTCTGCCCTGTGTACGTGGTGATCCCTGTGTAGCCCAATCCCAGCTTGCTCTTCAGCAAGGACAAACTCTTGTACAAGGCATGGTACTGGTCTTCCACGGACGTCAACGGGAGTAGCAACATGAGGAGTGCAGCCAGCAGGACCACCAGCACCGCCACCCAGCGGACACGGAGCCACAGGGACACCCATTTCAGCTCCGGCTCTGCCACTGCCACCACAGCTGCCATCGATACAAGGTTCATCTGGCCTCAGGGAAGGGCAAGAGGCACATTCCTTCTCTTGCGGGCCTCACCTAGGAATGGAAATGGGTAAGTTGCCAAAGAAGCATCATGCGGGTGGCCCTCTTGCTACCCTCTTTCTCTCTGAACCCAATACCATCCTTCAGCATGACTCTATTCATACCCCAAGATCATCCCCCAGAGACGCTTCCCTGAGTTTTCCCTCAGAAAGTGGCTCAGAGGAAATAATAAAGGAAGAGGACGTTTTTGGTTGTGGGTCCTCACCTGTGGAACTCTCTCCAAAGTGAAGCCTGCCTGACACCAACATGGATCTGGTTAAAACATTTCTCCTCTCCCTGATATTTGACCGAATATGATCCTATTGTGTCGTAGCTTCATTAGCGTTATTTTGAGTGATTGCTTGTTTTTCTCTGTTTTCTGCAGAGTCTGTGGTTGTTGCCATTTGTTTTGGTTTTTTTTTTTTAAAAAAACATTTTTTAATGTTTTTAAACCTGATTGTAAGTCACTTCGACACCAGCTAGGCTGATTTCTTCCAACTCTACAATTCTATGATTCTGCAACCTGCTAGGCAAATTACAAATTAAAAGCAATTGCCACCTGTCTTGTCCAGCCATTCGAATACCCCTTTTCTCATTTTCCTAGGCTGTAGTGTCTGATGATCATGGCACTTTTAGAGTAGGCCTACCCATGTACAATAATGAGGTGGCAGAATGGATTGTACCACATCTGGGGTACTGTGTCCTGTTCTGGGCGCCACAATATAAGAAGTATATTGACAAGCTGGAAAATCTGCAGAGGAGGGTGACCAAGATGGTCTAGGGTCTGGAAACCAAGCCTTATGAGGAACAGATAATAGTAATAATAATAATAATAATAATAATAATTTTTATTTATACTCTGCCCTCCCCGGCCAGAGCCGGGCTCAGGGCGGCTAACACCAGTAAAATTACAGTAAAAACATAATAGTGGGGGGGGGGGAGAGAACCAATTTAAAATACAGGTTAAAATGCAATTTAAAATGCAGCCTTATTTTAAAAGTAGCCCATAAATCAAAACCATATGGGGAGGGAAAGATAAGGGTCAGACTGAGTCCAAACCAAAGGCCAGGCGGAACAGCTCTGTCTTGTAGGCCCTGCGGAAAGATGTCAAGTCCCGCAGGGCCATAGTCTCTTGTGACAAAGCGTTCCACCAAGTCGGAGCCAGTACTGACAAGGCCCTGGCCCTAGTTGAGACCAATCTAACTACCTTGCGACTTGGGACCTCCAAAATGTTGTCATTTGCGGACCTTAAGGTCCTCCACGGGGCATACCAGGAGAGGCGGTCCCGTAGGTACGTGGGTCCTAAGCCACATAGGGCTTTAAAGGTCAAAACCAGCACCTTAAACCTGACCCTGCACTCCACCAGGAGCCAGTGCAGTTGGTAAAGCACTGGATGAATGTGCTTGGGTATGTTTAGTCTGGAGAAGATGAGACTGAAAGGACATATGATAGCCATCTTCAGTTATCTAAAGGTCTGTCACATGGAAAACGGGGCAAGCTTGTTTTCTCCTGCTCAGGAGGGTAAAACCCAAAACAATGGATTCAAGTTGGACTAGATGACCCCTTCCAACTCTACAATTCTCAGTTACAAACATCTAAGAACTTTATGATGATAAGAACTGTTCGACAGGGAAATAGACTCCCACGAGACATGGTGAACTCTCCTCATTTGGAGATTTTTAAGCAGAGTGTGGATGGCCATCTGTCGTGGATGCTTTAGATGAGATTCCTGCATTGCAGGGGGGTTGGACTAGATGACTATGACCATCTGGCACAGAGCTCTTTAGACAGGGGAGCATTTTAAAATGAACCAACCGAAGTGGTACAGTCCAGTCTACCACTTCAGGACTTTCATACCTAAACGTGCAAAGCAGATCTCAGCCTCTAGAGGCCATCCAATGCCAGCTGTCCCTTCTTGTGACAGGTCAGCCTTAACTCAGCTTGGCGAGCAAACCCACAGAAGTTGTACAGTTTACTTGCCCGCCTGAACAGCATCTGCTCACAGCCTGCTCACCTGGAAGCCATTCTGCTTCTTTGCAGGCAGGAAGTCTGAAGGCTCAGTATGCAAACCAGCCCAGTGGCAAATTTATAGTGTTCAGTTCAAAAAAACAACACCACCAAACACATTTATCCATCCAACCGTGAACATCAAGCTAGGGCAGAGCCACCAAGAACAACCCTCGATCTCCCTACTGCCACTACCGAATCGTAGGACTGTTTCTTTTTCCTTTCTCCTTCTGTGATGAGGCTGCATTTTAATATTTCAATATTTTAATGTTGTATTTTAATCTAGTTTTTAAGTTGTATTCATTCAACTTGTTTTTATTATTGCTTGTTAGCCGCCCTGAGCCCGGCATTGGCTGGGGAGGGCGGGGTATAAATAAAAATTATTATTATTATTAGAGTTGTGAGGGATCCCGAGGGTCATCTAGCCCAACCCTCTCCAGTGCAGGAACTGCAGCTGAAGCATCCATGAGAGATGGCCTGATCTCTCCCTTCTCTTCACGTCCAACCTTCCCCTTCTCCACCTTCACCCACCTACTTACCCAATAGAGACCCCCCCCCAAAAAAATATACTCTTCCCTCTTCTGACCTTCTCAACCAAGACCCAGCCTGGTCCCACCGCCCCCAAAAAAATTCCTTCTCCCAGTTCTGCCCCCTCCCTAGCTTTCCCTCCAACACGCCCCACTTTACCTTCTCCCAAACGAATGGGGGACCCCCCCCCACCAGCGAGGCCCCCTCCCTCCTGCCTCCTCTGTGCCCCTCCCTCTTCCCCTCAAACGAGACGATTCGCCCCACACAACACCCTCTTCCCTTTCCTGACCCCCAACCCTGCCCCACTTTCTCCCCCCCTCCCCGACACACAAAGAGGGGAAGCCCCACTGTTCACCCCCATATTTTTTACATAACTATTTTAACCCCCTTCCCCAAATCCCCTTCCCACATTTCGACCCCTTCCCCCTAAAACCCCAAATACTCTTTCCCCCCCAAAGCCCCCCTCTCCCCCCCCAAGCCCCCCCCCCCGCCTCCTACCTACCTCCTGTCGCCCCTGGCGCATCACTTCCTCTCCCTCCAATCCAACCTCCAGTTCCTCTACTTCGTCTCCGCCCATTGGAAGCCAAGGCCGTCCCTTACCCTCCTCCCTCCTCTCTTATTGGCCCCCGCGCACGCCCCTCTCCCTCTGTCCCGCCTCCGCGGACAAGGCCTTCAGTTCATCTGCTCTCCTTCCATTGGCTATCCCGCCCCGCCAATCTGTTTGTAAGTCCCCGCCAACCTTCCCTCCGCTGGAGAGGGCGGGCAAGGAGGGATGAGAAGCTCCGTGTTCGTGGACGGATGCGATTGGTCCAAGTCTCCGTCCGTCCAGAAAGCCGGGTTTGGCCAATGGAAAGATTTCGAGGGCGGGGACAAGAAGCGACCGGGGAAGATGGCGGCCTGGTTGCCTGGGCAACGGGCGTGAGGCGTACGCGAGTGCGACGTCAGGCCCGGCTCGGTTAAAGGATCTCGCGTTTGCAAAAGCAGACGGCAGCAAAAGCCTTTAATTTTTGTCTGATCGATTTTAGTGGTGCCCTTTTCAAATACGAAAGCATTTTTTTATATTAAAAAAATATGCTGTAGTACTTAAGGAGTTGAAATTACGTGTTCGGAAGCTACACACATTTCCTCCCCCTCCCCCCTTTTAATGTTTTTTATTGTTAACAAAAAGGGCAAAAAGAAAGGAAACCTAGGGGTGGGTGGGAAATAACTATAAAGCGTTACAGCCTGGAAAGAGACGTGCAAAGTTGCAGCACAGTTCCAAAATAAGAATAATGTATTAACTCGTACAAAATTCAATTTACAATTTTATTTTTTTTAAAACACACAGTATTCTTCACTTGCGAATTTCGTCCTTATTAAGAATAAATATAGTCTTAAATGAGCCAGGGACTTATAGCGCAGAATGACCACGTGCCTCAATATTTGTTTGAGAAATAAAACCATATAGAATCATAAGACTGTACAGTTGGACTGTAAAGGTACGCGGGTGGCGCTGTGGGTTAAACCACAGAGCCTAGGACTTGCTGATCAGAAGGTCGGCGGTTCGAATCCCCGTGACGGGGTGAGCTCTCGTTGCTCAGTCCCAGCTCCTGCCAACCTAGCAGTTCAAAAGCACGTCAAAGTGCAAGTAGATAAATAGGTACCACTCCGGCGGGAAGGTAAACGGCGTTTCCGTGCGCTGCTCTGGTTCGCCAGAAGCGGCTTAGTCATGCTGGCCACATGACCCGGAAGCTGTATGCTGGCTCCCTCGGCCAGTAAAGCGAGATGAGCGCCGCAACCCCAGAGTTGGCCACGACTGGACCTAATGGTCAGGGGTCCCTTTACCTTTACAGTTGGAAGGGACACCGAGGGTCATCTAATCCAACCCCCTGCCATGCAGGAATCTCAGCTAAAGCATCCATGACAGATTTTTATTTTTTTTAATGGAATGATTTTCATTGTTAGCAGGCACTAGACCAGGAAATGCTATATGTAATAAAATCCTTGTTTTAATTTTAAATCCTTTAAAATAAACACAAGGCTCCAAGCAGATTAAAAATACAAATTCTAGAGGGGTAGTTGGGGCAGATGGGGCTTGCTCCCCTGAGAAGGTAGCCCGTTTAGGAGAAGGTAAACTCCTAAACCACTGCTGTCTTGCAGGATATCTTTAGGAGAAGAAAAAGCTAAGGCGTAACCCACAGAGCCTAGGTCTTGCTGATCAGAAGGTCGGCGGTTCAAATCCCTGCGATGGGGTGAGCTCCCGTTGCTCGGTCCCTGCTCCTGCCAACCTAGCAGTTCGAAAGCACGTCAAAGTGCAAGTAGATAAATAGGTACCGCTCCGGTGGGAAGGTAAATGGTGTTTCCGTGCGCTGCTCTGGTTTGCCAGAAGCGGCTTAGTCCTGTTGGCCACATGACCCGGAAGCTGTACGCCGGCTCCCTCGGCCAGTAAAGCGAGATGAGCGCCGCAACCCCAGAGTCGGCCACGACTGGACCTAATGGTCAGGGGTCCCTTTACCTTTACCTTTAAACCCTACACAAATCCAGAGTGAAGTCCCTAAGGCGGTTGTATGGCGCCTTGTACAGTGGTACCTCTGGTTACGTACTTAATTCGTTCCGGAGGTCTGCTCTTAACCTGAAACTGTTCTTAACCTGAAGCACCACTTTAGCTAATGGGGCCTCCTGCTGCCGTCATGCGATTTCTCTTCTCATCCTGAAGCAAAGTTCTTAACCTGAGGTACTATTTCTGGGTTAGTGGAGTCTGTAACCTGAAGCGTATGTAACCTGAAGCGTATGTAACCCGAGGTACCACTGTACGCCTCCTTCCAGCAACTCCTGCAGCCAAGCTGGTGCCAAATGTTTTGCTCTGCTTTCCTTTGGACCACTGTTAGCAAGGCCATGAGCAGGGTGTTGTCAGCTGGGGAGCCTGGGACCCCCATACACACTGCTCAGGCTTGTGCCCTGGGGGAGGTCACGTCAGTTTGACTTAATCCCTGGACGTGCATTGTCTCTTGAGACAAACAGATGGCAAGAACAGTTTGAGACAGGGCATAGCTCAGTGGCAGAACATCTGCCTTGAATGCAGAAGGTCCCACTTTCAATCTCCAGTAGCATCTCTTGGTAGGACTGGGAGAGACTCTCTTTCTGAAATCACGGAGAGCTGCTGCCAGTCAGTGTAGACATTACTGAGCTAGGTGATAAATGGTCTGACATGGTAAAAAGGCAGCTTCCTTTGCTCTGATTGTGCTAGTCATGTTGCAGCACAAGCAACAGTATTGTGGGACCTTAGAGTCCAAGGGTCACCCAGAGAGGTGTTGGTACTGGTGCCCCTGAGCATGTACATTTCTAAAAGTGCCCATTCATGTCATTGGCATCAAAATAACAACCTATCTCCTACCCCACCTCTGTGCTTTAATTCATATTTTCTGGGGGAAATCTTTGTTTGTTTTTTAAACTTACCAATGGTCCATTTGTGATATTTCCATGCCTGGTTTTCAGTATTTAGTTCTTGCCTGGAAGCAGCCTTGCAAATGTATGATGGTCTTAATTTTCCAGACTGCCGCATACCTCCTTTGATGCGTAGAATGTTAATCTGTGGGGTTGGGGTGGGGGAGTTGTCAACAGCGAGGTCCGAGGAATTGAAATGCCAGAAATTACAGGTGGCCATCATTAGGTTATGAACATTGGCCATTTACAAAAATAAAAATAAAAATTTATTGATAATGTAGACTTCTAATATGCCAGTTAGCACATTTAGTGTGATTTAAAAGCCCATTGTCCTGCTTTAATCCACACATGATAGCATTGAACCGTTGGAGGAATTCATTGGTTTCATAGTGCAATCTCTGTTGCAGGATGGTCACATCTAAGGAGAGTTACAGTGTAGTCTGGGAAATTAAAAGTGTTGTCCTGTTCCACCATTTTTGGGGTACTGCCATTTCTGATGTGATGTCAGACTTATATCCATTTGATTTTTTTGCACAACAGGTATCACGTTTGACCTGCATAGAATGCAGAAGGGCATTGCTGGCAGATGTTGGCACCTTATAACATTGGAGGGTGAGTAGGTGAATACAACATCCTGATATTGTAAATGACTGTGTTAGGTCCTTTACTGATGTTGCCGTAGCAGACACGGAGGCAGAGTTGGCACCTGGGTGTGCTGCAGATAAGGGTCCCTGGCTACCTATCTCTGTTATGTGACCTATTCAATTAACCACAGTAATTCAGTAAGCTGGTGCCATGAGCTAAGGTGAGATGGAGGTCTGACGGTGCAATCCTGTACAGGTCTACTCCAAAGTAAGAACATCAGGAGAGTCTTGCTGGAGCAGACCCAAAGAGTAATCCCAAAGAGTAAGCATGGAGATATGCTTAAAAGAGCAAAGAAAATTAAAAACTCAACTCACAATGTGGAAATTTTTCTCTTTCTCCTGCCACTAGAGGGCAGCAAGTGATTTTGTTTCATGTTGAATTAGTTCATAAAAATCTATTCTTGACTTTGTCAGTTATACATTCTGACACTGTAGTAATAATGAAGAATGAACTCTGAGAGAGAGGTGCCTTCTGTACACGATCAGAGCTGGAAGGGACCTCCAAGTCAGTTGCTCTGGGTAATCTCAGGGACAATTAAATCTGATTTGAATTTATTGACGGATGTATTTATTGTGTCAAATTTCTCCTTCTGAATTTGTCATTGTAGTAAAATGGAGCCAGAATGTGCAGGTGCAGTCTATCTCTGAGTATCAGATGCTGGGGGCGGGGCTCAGTTACCATTATTATTATTATTAGCCTCTTTTATGTATTTCCTCCATCTTTAGCACATGAGTGCTCTTAGGGCAGCTCAGTTTAAAAACAAAAATAAAATACAGGCAAACATAAAGCCACGTAAAACCAAGAAAACAGTAGCAGTAGGTAAACAGTACACGTGAAAAGCATCTTGAGGCCTTAGTGGACCACAAGCTTAACATGAGTCAACCGCGTGTGTATGCAACAACAGCAGCAAGAATACTCATTGTGAAATATTGGAAGACACAAGATTTACCCACCAGGGAAGAATGGCAGATGAAGTTGATGGACTACATGGAATTGGCGGAAATGACTGGCAGAATCCGAGACCAGGGAAAAGAGTTGGTGGAAGAAGACTGGAAAAAGTTTAAAGACTATTTACAGAAATACTGTAAAATTAATGAATGTTAGAAAAATGTTGGAATGAAGTTATATGGCTTTAGTAGAAATGTTATAAGAAATTAAGTATAAATAGATTAATAGAGTATTAAAGGGAAAAATAAGGTTAGAATGTGTTAAGACAATTATAGGATAGAAAACAGAGGAAGATGGAAAGGAATTGCTGAAACAATTAATAGAAGTGGAATACAAAAAGGGAGGTGTGAGGAGGTCATGGAAATTAGTGAAAGAAAGATAAGATATTGAAATTGGACTGTGTTTTAAATGGTTTTTGTTTTGTTTTTTAGTTGTATGTTAGTGTTTTGTAGTGTTTTTTGCACTGTATTGTATTGTTGTATGTTTTTTCTTTTTTTGGTTTTTTGTAGTGTTGTGTTTAATTTGTTGGAAAACTAATAAATATTATTTTTTTTAAAAAAAACCATGAGTCAACCGTGTGATGCAGCAGCTGCATCAACAGAAGTCTAGTGTCCAGATCAAGGAAGGTCATAGTAGCACTCTATTCTGCCTTGGTTAGAACACACCTGGAATACTGTGTCCAGTTTTGGGCACCACAATTTAAGAAGGCTGTTGACAAGCTGGAACGTGTGCAGAGGAGGGTGACCAAGATGATCATTGGGTTTGGAATCCAAGCCTTAGGAGGAACAGATGAGAGAGTTGTGTATGCTTAGCATGGAAAAGAGGAGACTGAGAGGAGATGGGAGAGCCATCTTCAAATATCTTAAGGGCTGTCTCATGGAAGATGGAGCAAGCTTGTTTTCTCCTGGTCTGGAGGGTAGGACTTGAACCAATGGCTTCAAGTTACGAGAAAGGAGATTCCGACTAAACATCAGGAGGAACTTTCTGACAGTAAGAGCTGTTTGGCCATGGAACAGACTCCCATGGGAGGTTGTGGACTCTCCTTCTTTGGAGATTATTCAGGAGAGGTTGGATGGTCACCTGTTGTCTATGATCTAGTTGAGATTCGTGTATTGCAGGGGGTTGGACTAGATGACCCTTGGGGTCCTTTGCAACTCTACAATTCTAGGATTCTAAGTTATGTTGGGTTTTTTAATGCCCTTTAAGAACACAGTGCGGGTGGCGCTGTGGGTTAAACCACAGAGCCTAGGACTTGCCGATCAGAAGGTCAGCGGTTCAAATCCCCGTAACGGGGTGAGCTCCCATTGCTTGGTCCCTGCTCCTGCCAACCTAGCAGTTTGAAAGCACATCAAGTGGAAGTAGATAAATAGGTACCGCTCTGGCGGGAAGGTAAACGGCGTTTCCATGCGCTGCTCTGGTTCGCCAGAAGCGGCTTAGTCATGCTGGCCACATGACCCGGAAGCTGTACGCCGGCCAATAAAGCGAAATGAGCGCCGCAACCCCAGAGTCGTCTGCGACTGGACCTAATGGTCAGGGGCCCCTTTACCTTTACCTTTACTTAAGAACAAATGTGCTGAGGTATGTGTGTGTGTGTGCGCGCACACACACACACACACACATGCATGTGTATGTAAACACACATGTCTGTAAACACGGGTGTGTCTATGCCGAACTGAGTTGTTGACCCAGGTGGAAGAAAGCCTAGTTTCACCCCTGCCTCCAGAATTCATAGTCTGAAAGCTTACATACCCTGAAGGTCCATTGCCCTCTACAGGTAACATGCCTGGACTTGGTTGGAGCAAGTTGGTAAGAGCTTTCCATCTATGCTTACTGCTTGCTACCAAGGTCAGAGCAGGGCCACGACTGCCAGCAGTCTGTGTAAAGCTGCCTTTCATCACCTGGTGCCCAGTAGTCAAGGATGATGGGAGTCAGCCAGCTTGGGGATATCTGGTGTAAACAATGCAGGGCTGGATGCGCTGATGGGCTGACTGGGTCTAAGACAGATTCCTACATTCCTAGATGGAGCACAGTTTCGTAAGAGGTAACCGAGAGTTAGTTTGGCTACACGGTGGATGTGCAGTTACTGAAAGTGTCTGGTTTGAATGTTTAATTGTGTGTGAAAATACAGAAGTGAGCCTCTCTGCCTTGGCACACAACCCCTCCCTGAATATTACTCTCCAAGGGAAAGGCAGCCAGGTCCCTTGACCGCCAAGCTGCCCGATATCAGAGCCATCCCAGATAGCAGCTTGGGAGGTCGGCTCCTGCCAGCCTCTGATTTAATGTTTGTCAGGTGCTGGAAATTTTCTGAGCCAATTGATCATTGCACTCTTCATTGACCCATCCATCCATCAGGGCCAGCGGCTCATTTCCTGAGCACTAGTCCCTTGTCACTCAAGAATTATAGATCCGCTTGGCTGAGGCGTGTAGAAAATAATTGTTTTGGGTGCTTCTGAGGCCTGAGAAATTCAAAAACTGAAATGGGATTCTCTTGCCCGCTTCTCACTTGCTTGATTTGCATCACGGTGCTGACTTGTCAGATGAAAAGACAACAACTGTTTTTGGATGTCAGTGTGGCCAAATGTATATATTTGGAGCCCTCTTCTCCCCTTAGATATCCCTGGAGAACTAATCGATTCAAGATCAGACCCACAGTGTAATGGGATCAGTTCAAGCAGAATGTGAGAAGCCCAAGTGACTTTGAAGGCACGGGAGGTGCCCAACTTGCTAAAGGGGGTGGGGGTCTTGTCACTGCCTGGAAGAAGTTCTGCCTGGAAGATGCCCCCTGGGGTTTCATAATGGAAGAAAATAAAGCAATGAATACGTTTTCCTCTTTTGTATGGATAGTGTTAGATGCTCAGATCTGGAGAAGAGCAAAAGCAGCTTGCAGCATGATCCACCCTGAAACGTGAGAGCATTGTTCTCATTCATTTCAGTGATTCTCCATCCTTTTCAATGTTTGACTTAGAGCCAGGGTGGCTAACCTTTTGCAAGAAATCTCTTCTCCCAGTCCAGAGCTTTGATGGGGAGATTGGGGCTTGGGGACCCACTTCAAATGGCTCTGCAAGAATGATCTGGG